CAGAGAGTAAAGAGAAGGTCTTCTTTTATCAGTGTTTCCCAATCCAGTCCAAGGGGACCCACAGACAGTCCACGTTTCTGCTCCCTCCCAGCTCCCAGCAGGGAGCAAAAATATGGACTGCCAGGTAGCTTAGAGGGAGCAAAAACATGGACCGACTGTGGATCCCCGAGGACTGGACTGGGAAACACTGCCTTATATAGACAAACAGAACAGTGTTTATTGCCATAGTTCAGTGGAGGGCACTTTATAACCGCTTCAGGAACATCTGACAATATTCAGTGTCAGCTGCACTGATATCAGCTTTACTAAATGTTGCATTTATTGTCATTGAGAAGCTTTTTGGTGAATGCCGCCTCTTCCCTGTGCAGCAATGTCTCTGTCAGCTGGCAGCTTTATTGACTCTAGGAATTATTAACTTCTTTATTAACTGTTTGAGCCATGTTATGCAAGGCCACTCAAGCCAAACATCTTAACTGCAGTCTGACTTCAGGTACATAAAGGTTCTCGTGACAAGGAAGAAACCGCTAGAGATTTTAACTTCTGATGTTTCAGACTGTTCCACATAGTAGTCACTTTCCTGAGCTTTACGTGTTGGCAGGAAAATAAAATCATAATTTGTTTATACAGTGCCACAGCGCTGCGACGGTTCGGTCTGGAGCTCACTCCCCTCTCCTTTCCCAAGTTTGATCTCTGGGTTTTTTAGCTTTGTCTTTGTGCCATTTGGAATGACACTCTGACCCTTGGTGTGCTGCAGATATTAATATCACTGTTTGCCTCTTATCTGACATGAAGTCACATTCCCTCAGTTCAGACGGCGATGCATTTTATCCTTTAATTTTGCAGCAAGTTTTACTTTTTTTGTTCTTCAAAAGCTGATACGTAATGAGGCGACACATCCCTTTTTCACATTTACACTTTTACTATAATATTCACTGCTATCTAAAGGGTAATTTTCCTTTCCAGGAACGGGTATTTTCAGGTGGTTGGTGCTGTAACCAACTTCTCAAAGCTGTAAAGGCTCCAGCAACTTGTATGAGCCACAGTTGCTAAGCAACTCTGGGACGGATAAATATGAAAGGTAACTGGAACACACAATGATGGACAGAGCCCCTTTTCTGGCTGCGTCCTGCAGCGAGGCTTTGGATGCGACTTCTGAGGTGTGCTGGATGAATGAGGATGGGCAGCCATGGAAGAGTTGGTTTCGAGTAACATCCAAGTCCATTTTAGAGAGATCAGGCAGCAGCTGCTGGTTTCATTCACAGGGCTTCTACGACAGGTGAAGCATCATGCAAATCTCGCAATGGAAAGAGAATCCACGTATGGTGCAGTTGTGATGACACGTGGAGATCCGGTGTGACATAAAGCACAGTGAAGTGAGCAGACTGCACTCTGCAGTGTGTTTGTGTGTGTGTGTGTGGGGATCATTAACTAGAGCATAATGAATATATACACTATATGGACAAAAGTATCAGGACGCACCTCTTTATCAATGAATTCAGTTGTTTCATTCAGACCCATTGGCACAGGTGGACAATATCAAGCACCTAGACATGCAGTCAGGTTCACAAACATTTGTGAAAGAATGGGTTGTTCTAAAGAGCTTAGTGAATTCAAGCGTGGTGCTGTCATAGGATACCATCTTTGCAATAAGTCAGCTTGTGAAATTTCCCCCCTGCCAGATATTCCACAGTCAACTGTAAGTGGTATTATTGCAAAGTGGAAGTGCTTAGGAACAACAGAAACTCAGCTACGAAGTGGCAAACCATGTAAAGAAACAGAGCAGGGTCACTGAGTGCTGAAACGTACAGCGCAACGGTCTGTTGACGCAATAAAACTTCCTCTGCATTATAAGGGTCAGTATAAGCCATTATAATGCATTATGAAGGTATATACACTGCCCGGCCAAAAAAAAAAAACATTTGAATTTAAATCAGCAAATACTTAAAAGCGAATGAGTATTACAGCTCTGCAACGTTATACAGCAATAAAGTGAAGTTAGCTGAGTACCTGAATCTACTGGGTGGCCAGGTTACCGCTTCATCCATCATCCATGGATTTTTTCTTCCCTAAAGGTATGGACATTTTCCAGGATGATGATGCCTAGGTTCGTCTTGTTTAAACTGTGAAAGAATGGGTCAGGAGAATGAGGAATCATTTTCACATGTGATTTGGCCATCACACAGCCTTGACCTTAACCCCATTAAAAATCTTTGGGATGTGCTGAAGACGACTTTACGGAGTGGTCCAACTCACCTATCATCGATACAAGATCTTGGTGAGAAATTAATGCAAAAAGTATTCATTCCAACTAAAAATTCAAATGGTGACTTTTTTTTTGGCCGGGCAATGTATACTGTGTTATAGATGAGAGCTTCATAGAGCATTCATAATGCATAATAAACATAGCTATAAAGTGTTATGGCTTTTTATAACTAGTTATAGCGTGTTTATAAAACTTTATAAATGCATTATGAAAGTATCTTTAATCCATTTTGGTCACTGCTTTAAGTAAAATGTTTACTTCTTGCCATTTTTGCCACTGATATAATGATAATACAACAGTATAACAATACAAGTACACCCTTTAAAAGAAATTAACTTTTAAGTTCTTAAGAATATTCAGACATTGGAATTGGAATGCCAAAAAAAGTAAATATCCTAAATAAAAAAATTTAAAAAACCACACAACCAAAAAAGTAGATGAAACAGACCCCCAGATTGCACTAAATATTAAACATCTGGCATGGGAGTATAGAGAGTCATTCATTCCTTAACTGGCAATATAATGTCAACTCAGTTGTGTGGAGGCGCCGCTCAGTGACGCAAACGAGCCTCGATTGTTCATTGGCCATGGGAAAACTAGCAAGAAGTCACAAAGTAGTCAAACCAAGGATTATACATAAACACCTTCTCTACCCTCTGTGATCATAATGATAACAAAGAGAGCTAACAGATTTGAAGAATGGTTGACAGAGAAATTCTAGAAATACCGGCGTGTATATGATTCCTCACAACAGGATTATAACAATTACTAGATGGCTACAAACTAAAATACATTTGAATTGCAATGCCATATACCCATGTATATTTTTGTGTCAGTGTTATCATGTAAATGTTTTTAATATAGTTAAAAAAAATTCTCATTTGAAATCTAATTTAGTTTTAGGTGTGGTTTGATTAATTTTTATTTTAAAGATGTAAAATCTATTTAGTTATATATTTGATTTTACTTTTCAGTCATTTTAATTGTAGGGATAGACAGACAGTTGTAGGACTTTTCTGGCTACTACGAAATGTTGTGAGGTATATATATATATATATATTGGATGTTTCTGTGGTTCAAGTGCATTGCGCGGGAAGCCCAGAGATAAACAAATCATTACTTCAGCTAAGTAACATTTAAAATCAGTAAGAAGAAGTATTTGATGTTTGTTTTTATTTGATTTCAGTTGGTTTAGGAAGAAATATTTATAGTTGTCATTTAATTGTAGTTTTTATGTTATTTTTGTATCTTATTTTGTTTCAGTTCATGGTAATGTTTCCGTTTACAATTATTACCCTGCCTTGCATACTGTTAGTACACAGTGCACAGTTAGTTTTAGTAATATTCTTATAACATCCAAACCACGTACACTTCATAAATGTCACTTTTAAAAGCAGTTTACTGCTCTCCAGTGCTAACACAGGCCTGATGTCAAAGTACGCAGTTGCCTGGCATTTTGGCGCTTGAAGTACGTATGAATATTCATGGAGGAATGTAAAATACATAAAATACATAAGTAAAAATACATAAAACAAATTAACCTGCACTTTACCTTTGAAAAGAATCGTGGATGGTGTGAGGGAGACGAGAGGAGGGTAATTTTGTAAGACGACATTAACTACTGTATAACGAAATCACTGCTATCTGTTGGCTCACTGGCATCTTTTTGTACAACTTTAACAAGGAACCTATCCAATGACAGCCGCTTTTGCCTCCTTTTCGATTCCGCGGAAATATGGACATTGCATTGTCGTTAAATAGATTCATCGCTCGCATTGCTACGCCCTTATTCGGGTGGTGCTTTTCTACTAAATGTTCACTATACCAGTGATGCACGCCGACTGAGAGCGAGCATGGGAGACGATTACCCACAATCCCGCAGCGAAAGAGAAAGAACCATCGGCTCAGTTGTGATCACGTGACGCTCGGCAGACAGAGCGTATACGTGATACTCGTATTGCAAGACCTCGACTAAACATGACTTCATACAGAAACACAAAACGGTAACCGTTAAATTCCATCACTGTCTTATATCTGTTATCATGCACATCAAACAATCTTTAAACTCTTCATATAAATCAGGGTGAGTGAAAGACAGGGGTTAGACGTGTCTCCCCCAGTCTGGTCTGTGGATTCAGCCGATTCACCATTTTCATTTGGTTGAAATCTAAAATGAAAATGAAAATCACTTATGTAAGTGGCTCTGTCTAAGGGCGTCTGCCAAATGCTGTAAATGTAAAATAATGCTGTATCTCACTTCTGCTGGCTAATGTGGGATAGTGGCCAACAGTGGTTTCCATCTTCCATCTACATACAGACAGTCCTAATACAACACGTGATATCACTCTGTGGATCTCTTCTAACACAATTGATATTAGTACCCAAGACCAATACAACGCGGAATCACACTTGTATTTGTGCGATTTTCAGTCGGAGCGAAAAGCACTACACAAACTATAATACAACATGGTCTTAGCGAGAAACACTGACTCTAGCTTCTTTTTTTATGTGCAATAGAGATTTACGGCACATTTTCATCAAATATCAAATTTTCAAAATGACAGAATTGTGCCGTTTAAAATTTGGTATCATAATACTATCCTGATACCGGTATATTATTAGTACATTATTATTAGAACATTATTAGTGCGTAGCTACAATTGTGTGAGCGAGTTATTTCCTTCTGTATGGTGCTGTTCGTGACACTTTGTCTTCTGTCGGATCCTCTTTGCATTAGAACTCTTCTTGTCCCTGCCCAGTGGATGATGTGCTAGGACCAGCACTTGCCTGCCAGTGTCCTACGTGTCTTGCCATGGCCGGCTCCCCTGGTGGTGACCTGCCACTTCTGCAGCTCCAGGAAGTGGGCTCCAGCAAGGTGGGAGGCCAGAGCAGCTCCCCAGGGGTGCTACCCACCGTCTATGCAGCCCCCCTGCCTGGCCTCGATGTGGAGAACCGAGCCGTATGCATTCCCTCGCCCTACGCGGACAACGGCCACGACTACCCCACCCTCACCTTCTACAATCCATCTGTGCTAAGCTATCCTGGATCCTCCATCCCTGACAGCCCCTCTGTGCGGCCCCCTCTCAGCCCGGCCCTCTACTGGCCGCCTCACAGCCACCCTGGACACACCAGCCACCTCCCACCTCTGACTCTGCACTGTCAACAGCCCATGGTATACAGCGACCCACCGCAGACCCCGTGGGTGGAAACCAAGGCCCATGACCATATCATTGTTCAGGCCAGGTAACGCAACTTAAACTCAAAGGCCGGTTCAGTCCTTCAGAGCTACATGTTTTTTTTTTATTAATTCTTGAAATTGATTTTAATTTTATAATTTTAATAACATTTTATTAATTCTTCTCTTAAATGTAAAAAAATTATTTGCACTCACTAAGGGCACTTTTCCACTGCACCTGGTACTGTTCTTTTGGTATTTCAAAAAAGTACCAAAAGTACGATACTTCAAGGTGTTGGTTTTCCACTGGCGTAAAAACTGGTACCAGCACTGAATGACATCACAGCGCGAGGCGGGGTATTTTATACTGAATATTGCAGGGCTGGGCGACATGCGACATTAATACAGACATCACGTTATCCACATGCATTTCTCACATCGCAAGGACCGTGGTAGTCAGCTGAGTTTAGATCAGACTTTTTCATACCTTCAATGTCATTCAGACATTATGTCGCGTGAGGTTTCATTTTCACCAAAAGATTTTCACATTGTCCTAGGAACCGAAACTTAGTAAGCACTGCAATGTTCCTTTTCAAGATTATCTAGTATATGTTCAAAAAGTCAGTTTAAAGTTCATTGCCACTGCATTTGCATGAGATCTGCATGTGCTGTTTGAGCCGATCGTAATCATTTTGATCCTTGCTGTTCAAATCACTCCTAGATGGGTTTGTGCAAAACTTGATTTGAACTCCTTTTTTGTTTTAGAAATATCCCAGTATTTATTTCAACGAACTGCACATCGTACAGCCATGGTATATTATAGCAAATATTTGTTGTCATGCCATCCAGATCATCTTTTGGTTCTTCTGACCAGATCACAGTTTCATGGCTCTCTCAATTTGTCCATGCATACATTACTTTTTTTTTATTTTATCATTATTTTGTGAGTTTGTAACTTTTTGTATTGTGTTTCAGAGGCAGGCTATTTGCATGAGTAATTGGAACATGTTTGCAAGTCCCACTCTAAAATACCAAAGTACCAAAAAAGTGCCCCAACTGTGTACTTTGGACACTGGAATTTTTTTTTTGCTCTGGTACTCAACCAAAAGTCAATGGAAAAGGGAAGGCACCGTACCAAAAGCATGGAACCTTGTTCAGTGGAAAAGCACCTTAAAAATAACTTAACTGGCAGAGCCTCTCTGTAGATGGAGTTTGCCAGATCTCAACTATGTTAAGTGGCTTGGAGGCAAATGCACATGAATTTGCTAAGAGCATCATGGGTTATAAAATAATTTGCAAATGACAAAATGATTCCTCCTGCCTCACTCAGTTGAGTACATAAGTAATGGTAGTATTAACTGGTATTCCTTCAATGAGCCTAAGGATTTTACCTCAACCACACTACAAAGAAGCCTTTCTCCAAAACCTTTGCAGCCTTTGTGTAAAGAAAACTTTATTCTGATCATTGTGATTTAAATTGGACTTTGGCAGCTCTCTGTTTGTTGCAATGTGCTCTCAAATCTGTGCTAACAGTACAAGTAGTAGCAGAACCATCAGTCCTACTCACTGTGTATGTCCTTAATTTGGTGATTCCTTAATAGATTAATTCCAGACAACCATTAGTTGTGTTCTACAAAAAGTATTCATACTGTGAAACACAGTACCGAGCACAGTAGAGACCAGTGGTTCAGTAGAAGGAGACTGGATTACTGTTCCCTCTTATGGTGCACATAGTATGATGTTGTGATACCTTGTCCTCTTTTTGTTTGCCCCACCTGTACTCTAGCAAGCTGACAGGGCCACGTGGGTTGGATGCTGATAATGCAGTGAACTCCTCTGGGGGTTGCTTGGAGGGGAAGGCTGACATGCATTTCTGTGCCGTTTGCCATGACTACGCCTCAGGGTACCACTATGGTGTCTGGTCCTGTGAGGGATGCAAGGCCTTCTTCAAGAGAAGCATCCAAGGTATCGATGCCTTGTTTTGGGGTCAAGCCCCTCAAAGCTGAATGGAGGGGAGAATAAGGTATTTACACTGATAAGTACTATTATGCCTCCATTAGGACACAATGATTACATCTGCCCAGCAACCAATCAGTGTACTATAGACAAGAACCGAAGAAAGAGCTGCCAGGCCTGTCGCCTGCGGAAGTGCTATGAAGTGGGCATGATGAAGTGTGGTAAGGTCCCCATCATGTATATGAAGCAGGTATGATGAGGAGCGGTAGGGTTCCCTTCATGTGTATGAAGCGAGTATGATGAGGAGCGGTAAGGTCCCCTTCATGTATATGAAGCAGGTATGATGAGGAGCAGTAGGGTTCCCTTCATTTGTATGAAGCGAGTGTGATGAGGAGTGGTAGGGTTCCCTTCATGTGTATGAAGCGAGTATTATGAGGAGCAGTAGGGTTCCCTTCATGTGTATGAAGCGAGGATGAAGAGTGGTAGGGTTCCTTTTATGTGTATGAAGCAAGTATGATGAGGGGCGGCAGGTTTCCTTTCATGTGTATGAAGTGTGGTAAGGTGCCTTTCCTTTGTATGAAATTGGCATAATGATGGTGTGGGAGGATTCTCTTCCTTTATATGAAAAAGTTGGTCATGAGTCTGGGTCCTTAATTACAATGCTTTCCTCAGGTATGAGACGTGAGCGCTGTAGCTACCGTGGAGTCCGGCACCGGCGCATGCCTCAAATCCGATATCTGGGTACATTGGGATCCAGAACACAGAAGCGGCTGGAGAGTAGCCTGCCAGTGATGAAGGGGACCCTAGCTCTGACCCCTGAACAGCTGGTGACCTGCATTATGGAGGCAGAGCCGCCAGAGATCTACCTCATGAAGGATCTGAAGAAGCCTTTCACTGAAAGCAGCGTCATGATGTCCCTTACCAACTTGGCTGACAAGGAGCTGGTTCTTATGATCAGCTGGGCTAAAAAGATCCCTGGTAGGTCCCATAATATAGGTGTGAGTGTAATATATGTCTGTATGCCCATGATTCTAATGGAAATGACAGTGCAAGAGAATCTCCATATCTTTCACATTTCCTTTGCAAGTTGGAATGGAAAGACTATAGTCTAATTAGACCACAGAGTAAAAAAATGATTTCAAGAAGCCAACGAGCTGAACCTCATCTCACATCCCAGGTCATCAGGATTAGTAGGGATTGTATGGGATTGGACCCTGTCGACTAAATATAACCTCATCCTGAGGATTTATGGCAGGTGGCTAATTAACGGAAGCTGAGACTTTGGTTTTCAGAGGGGTGTGGAGACAGTCACCTTCTCTACATGCTACTGGTATTGTTCCACCCCCATTCAAAACAAATCACATCTCAGACTGTCTCAGGAAGGCGAGATGAGCGAATGCCCATCACACACAGGTGTGAGTAACAAGTACAGAGGTTCTATCCTAGAAGGCTTGAAGAATTGCGTCATTGTAAATAGTGGAAGAATGCTTTCTGATATTGAGGCCTGATAATGTGAAAATGAAACTCCATCCTGTTAATGAAAATGTGCCTTTACCCCTTAAGCAAGTAATGAATCTTGCTTTATAAGGTACCGTTTTGAAGGCTTCAGTAAAAAATAGTGAGGCTCACCTGCAGGTCACTAAAAGCTTGTAAAGCTTTGTCAGCACTTAACTAGAAGATTACAGCTCAAACCGTAATGCGTTTTTTTACCCAGTACAAATCCAAATCGATTTTGAGAGTATGAAAGTATGTTAACCACATGCTAGAGCCTGTCGCACACATTAATGTCCTGATGCATAAGTATGTAACTAAATGTCTCTGAGTGTTGCTAGTAGTTTCACTGTATCAATGTGTATATTTCACTATGTGAAAGTGTCAGTACTTGTCCTTGCAGGGTTTGTGGAGCTCAGCCTGTCAGATCAGGTGCACCTGCTTGAGTGCTGCTGGTTGGAGGTGCTTATGCTCGGCCTAGTGTGGCGGTCTGTAGATCACCCTGGGAAGCTCATCTTTACCCCTGACCTCAAGCTCAACAGGTATGGACCATCCCAGCCACCAGCACTCACCACCTACAGTATGATGCAGCCCTGGAACTGCAGTGGCTCTGCTATCTATACCCCTGAGGGGTCCAGCACAGAGTTTCATAGAAGCCCCTGAACTGCCTTTTGTTAGGATCCTTTTGTCAGGAAACTTATAGCCTTATTCAGATTAGTTTTAATTGTAAATTGTAATTGTCTGTAATTATTACAAGAGTAATAATTCAGGGGTAAATTACATTCTGTCTTTCAGCACACACAGATGTCTTTCAGTAATCCAGTCTGAACTGACATCTTGGGAATAATGTCATCTGTAAAGGTGCATCTCTTTTTATTAGGGAAGATGGCATTTACCTGCTAAAAGCCGAGCTTGAATGGGTTTTGAGTTTTCCACATAAACGTCTGTCGACCTAAACCAAAGCCTGTGCTGTGTTCAGCAGGTGCAGAGCAGTACAACACTATGGCGTACAGTGATATATAAGCTACTTTATGGTTGGGGGGGGAGGTAAAAAGTTTGGTCTTTATTGTGTTTGATTAGTATGTTAAAGGGATAGATCACCCCAAAATGAAAATTCTCATTTGCTTTCTAGATGTGCTCTGATGTTAACATCCCAAAGAGACTAATTTTATCACCACTTGTTTTGGGGAAATTACACACATTACTTTTCGCATCTGAATCAGCCAGTCAGATCACTTTACAAACTACATACCGAACCTCCCTAGGTAAAACTAATCAAATTCGAGTAGGGCTTATGATGAATACATTCTGTGAAATGATTCAGTGGACAAAATTCAGAGGACTGATTCAATGGAAACGTTCTGTGGACATGTTGTCCTCTTCTTAGTCATCCTTTGATTACCTTCATTGCAGAAGAGTTCCAGAAGTTCACCCACAGATAAATGTATGTAACAAAGAGTCTCTGATTTAAAATCCAGAATTCTTTCTGCCGCATTGTAAGATAGGCAACAAGCTTGCTTGTTTTATGCTTAACAAGACTTTCACATCCTCCTGCAGTCTGAGACTTAAGGCTGGAATCATAAATCACACAGAAGCTGTAGTGCCACAACATGGGGCGACTGTGATGTCATTTTCGTCATATGGGTGGCCTTGGGCATTACTTGGGGGGGTCACATAACACCTTGAAAACTGAAATAACTCTGAGGCTCCCAAGAGGCTCTGCTCAGTTATGCAAGCGAACCTCAATTGTTCATTGGCCATGGGAAACGTAGCCAGAAGTCAGAATGGAGATCGAACCAAAGATTGTATACAAACGACCCTCTGTGATCAGAATTATAACAAATATGGCTTCCGGATTGGAAGAATGGTTGACTGAGAAAATCGGAAATACCGCCATTCATATGATTCCTCGCTACAGCATTAGAAAGACTCCCAGACGGCTACAAAGTAAAATAAAATGTATATAATTAACATTTATACTGCCCCGCCATATACCTGTGTAAACATGCGTACGTTTTTGCATCAGTGTTATAGTTTAGATTTTTTTATTTAGTTTTTATATTTTATATTATATTTTTAATATTGTATTTTAGTTTTTGATTGTCGTTTCATTCGTTTTTATTTTAAAGTTGTAATTTATGTGATCTATTTAGGTATTAAATTTAGTTTTAATAATTTAATTTCTAAGGATAGATAAAGTTGTAGGACTTTGCTAGTTATAACAAAAAGTTCTATTCCCGGAGGCCCAAAAGTAAACAAATCATTACTTTAGTTAAAATTTAAAAACGGTAAAGGAAAGTATTTGACGCTTGTTTTTTATTTTATTTCAGTTGGTTTTGGTACTTATAGTTCTCATTTAGTTGTAGTTTATATTTTATTTTCGTATCTAATTTCAGTTTAGGGAAATGTTTTCATAAACGTTTATAACTTTGCCTTGTGTACTGCGCACATGGTTAATTTTAGTAAAATTGTTATAACATCCATACCACACTGCATAAGCGTGACTTTTGGGCAGCTTTGCAGTAAAGTGCAACCCCAGGCCGTAAGTCAAAGTACACTGCCGCCTGGCGCTTTGGCACTAGGAACATGAGCAATTAGGATGGAGGACGGCATGGTAGCACGACATGGGCACTGCAGCACGCTCACTTTTCCGTGACGTATGAACCAACCTATATGCATCATTCTCGGATGCAGTCCTTACGAAACAGTACAGAGGAGCTGATCTCACAAACAAGCAAAATAGAACAAGATGGTGCACAGAAACTGCAATGGGTTGGCGCCCCATCTTGGGTTGTTCCCTGCTTTGCGCCTGTAACCACCAGGATAGGCTCCGGACCCCCCCCCCCCCCCCAGCAACCCTGTTACAGAAAATGGATGGATGGAGCACAAGAAAGATCCTCTGACAAAGTCCTTCAAAGTCAATATACAGTATTATCTATTATGTAGCCTGTAACACTGTCTTGTATCTGTATTACAGAGCAAATGAACCAGGGACAGCTGCAAAGGAAAAGTCTTGATGATAAACTTCATATTTATGTTTAACACGCCTGCCTATGAAATATAGAGAATATGTGAGAATGTGTCGTTTTACCCAGGAAAACATTTTGTAGCTATGCAGCTCAGCCTTGCACTGATGAGTTTTATCCTACTTGGCATCTCACCATTATGACTCGACAAGTTGTGAATAGCAGACTGGTGTAGAAGACTCCCCTTTACATGAGAGCAACCCCACCTCACAGAAAGATTCGAGATTTTGAGCTGAGAAACTTCGGAAAAAGACTCGCCAGAGTCTGAGCTGAATTATACATAACGCAAGTTAGCCGTGTAAATTTCTAGTTCAAATTATGCTGACTTTCAAAAGGCAAAAAGTATAGATAAACTCGTGAATGGTATGTGAACAATAAATCGTTATTTGTTGTGAACTAAATGCAGTGTAGCTGAAATAACATTTCTGGTGATACATGTTTAAGTAGCTAGAAAACGAGGATCATGTTGAAGTACAGAGAAAAAGCCAGCCAGTGATGTGCGTTCGGGGAGAAAGCCATTTGATGGCTGCTGACTGGTGAGGAAACCCAAACACTGCAGCTCTCACTGCATATATCTGCAGTGACTGAACTTTTGTATCTATTGTTCATACAGTGTCCAACAGGAGTAGCTTGTGTTTATAAAGGCGTCGCTTTGAGCACGATGCAGCGCCGTTTTCAATAAGTTCAGTGCCGAACCACCGAGATAGTGTTCTTTCTCGCAAGAAAAACAGGCCTCTCGTATCAGTATAGTCTTTAGCTGGTGAGATGTTTTTCTCATGGTCAGATAGCCTGCTGGGTCTCTACCTGCTGGCAGCCCGCAGTGAACGCTGAGTCGGTAGACAAAGACGTGGACTTCACTGTGTGCTCAGTTCACAAGTCAGTAAGTGTCCCTGCAATCGGAAGCCCATCTGGCATTATTTTAATGTAAATGTTATTCCCTTTACATTTATTGAATTCATTATAATGAGTCTTGTCAGTCACAAATATGTTTAGACTCTAGATTAATAATTTAGACTAATAATCACCAGCAGTATACTGATACTTTTATTTTAGTGATTGATTTAACCATATGTGGCCAGTTTTGATGTTTGTTCTTGGTCAGGTCTGGCTAAAGGATCTAGCAGCCTTGACAGAGATCCAGCAGGGGGGAGTTTGGGATTTGGGGAATTAACTGGCCTCCACTTCTAATCGTTAATGCAGAATGCTAGCAACCAGCAACATAGCTGTCTCTGGCCACTAGGCTAAAGAAGGGCATTCTGGGAGCATGTGGCCCTGTCCTGTTATGCTCAGAAGACAAATGGTGAGGGATTGGCTTTCACAGCCTGCACAAGCAGGGTGATTATCTTCTCGGGCTTAACTAACCTTGGTATGTTCCCATAACATGCACGTATTTTTCCTGATTCTGTAGAAAGCTAGGATATGCATATATATCTCTGTGGCATTAGCGTTTCCTGGGTTTCAAAACAAAAATAAGACTCTGCATGTTTTTTATTCCCAATGTGTGATTGAAGAAGAAAGCAGGATATTTTAGCAATAAATACTACCCGAGTTGTTTGTCAGTTTAACTAATCTTTTCGTCTGACCCTTTTCCTGGTGTGCCAGCATAACCTTGACTTGCACGGCTACCCAAATTAAGCAGGCGCTTAAGGTGAAATCTGCACCTGTGTCTAAGAGCTCTGTGACTTGCAGTCTTGCACACTTAAAAAACTGATAAGTGATAAACAGGACATTCTCATCTGCACTGGGTTTTCTATCCAAGTGTGCACAGAAGTGACTGTCGATGCAGGAGGGGGTGCTGGTAGTGCATGCTGGGAAGGGTGTGATCAGAACCCCTACTTCTCTCTAGGGATGAAGGCAGCTGCGTGGAAGGGATCATGGAGATCTTCGACATGCTGCTGGCTGCCACTGCACGCTTCCGGGAACTGAAGCTGCAGCGGGAGGAATACGTCTGTCTCAAGGCCTTGATCCTCTTGAACTCCAGTAAGGCTGCATACTATGCATGTCATCCCATACATTCCAGAACTGGCCTCTTTGTGGTTTCATTTACGATTCTGGTTTTGTCCTGTTGGACGCAAATGACCAGGTTCACATTCCCATTTGGTTCATATCCACAGTCCCTGCTTGTACCATGATCTCAAGTCAGGCAGCCCCCCCCCCCCAATGAAGTGAATCAACTTATTGGGGTCAAAAACCAGGACACATGCCTGGCGATGGTGGCAAAAACTCAGCCAGTATTACTATTTGCTTTTTTGATGCAAAAGAACAAATTGTGCAACTTCTATGCAAGTCAGCGATTAAGCTTGTTTGTGTTCCATTTTCTTGAATGTGTTGGCAGCCCAACATCGAGCAGTGGGATGAGCCCTGGAAGGCCCCTGTCTGGTCTTACTTTGCCACCCGTCCCAAATGGCTCTAAGGACGTTAGCGATGAAGTTGCATTAGTGCAATATGATGACAATCAATTGGACTGAATTCAGTTATTGCCAGCACAAAACTGTTTTTGTACAAGTACTTTTTTAAGCCTGAAAATAAAAAAATACAGGAAGTGAGACTAAGAAAATAAACACATCCTGAAACTGTAGTGTTCCAAGGTAATGAGTTATTAGTGATATTCAGACTTAATCATCTTCTGATGTTTTCTTTCTTTTACACTGCCATCTAGTGTTCAGTACATTTGTTATGAAAATTTATGGAAATTTCTGGGGTGGAACTTCTGCTGGCTGGCTTGTGTTAGAGGTCCTGCTGACTTGTGTATGTGCATGATTTTCTCGATGGCTCTGCACCTGTGCATCCTACATGCCAGCTGGGAAATCTACACAACTTCCTTTTGGGAGTGGGAATGTGGATTGTGCATGGACAAGGGCCTAGTGGATGGTGTGTATTCTGTTATAGACATGTGTGTGAGCTCCCCAGAGAGCCCCGAGGAACTGGAGAGCCGGGCTAAGCTGCTGCGGCTGCTGGATGCAGTGACTGACGCCCTGGTGTGGGCCATCTCCAGAAAAGGGCTAACCTTCCAGCAGCAATCCACTCGCTTAGCCCATCTGCTAATGCTACTTTCGCACATCCGCCATGTCAGGTACTCAATAGCCCGAGCAGTGGAAATTACAGTGGAGAACACTGGGATCCGACAGAATAGAGGTTGTTTACTGTTGTCCTAGCAACGTCAGACATCTTGGACTTAGCTGGTCAATTCTAGAGTGAACTGAAATATGAAGTTCTAAAAATCTTTCTGAATTTTTATCCATAAGCATCTAACGGAAATGCAGTGTTTCATATAGCTAGACTCTTGCTATATATGCCACGCATTTGTAATCCTCCCTTGTGGCTCAGTGTGTATTTTTCCCAAGTATTACTCTCTCCTGGGGGGGCTCCCAAGTTCTTGGGCCTGTGTACTGACTCCCTTTCCTGCGATCCCTCCCACAGCAACAAAGGGATAGAGCACCTGTCCAACATGAAAATGAAGAACGTCGTCCCACTGTACGACCTGCTTTTGGAGATGCTGGACGCCAACACCACGCACAGCTCCCGTGTCTACCACAGGGTCGCAACAGGGGAGTCAAAACACCAGCCAACCTCTACAGTCGAGAGCAAGTCTGCTCCACAGACCCCGAACAACCCTCAGGGGCCGGGGCCGGGGCCGTGGGCCCCTGTCGAATGCAGTGAGTAAACATCAGACGAGCTAATCAACCTGAATATCCGGTCCATCCCCTCGCAGCCCCCCAAAGCTCCGCATTCACATGTTTGTAGATAAAGGAGCTGAAAAGACTAGTCAGGTTCACCCATGTCCGGATCTGCTGGGACCCGCTGTCAAAAACGTCAGCCAGCAATGAACTTTGGTCAACCTGAATAACCCCAGTATCCTCGAATATGAAGTGCTTTGTACGATCTTCAGTTACAGAACCTGGCAATTGGGAAGGTGGAAAAATAAAAATGTCAGCAATTATTGTTCAACAACAAAAGCTGCACTTTGCCAAAACTGTACTAAGAAAATCACATTATTATAACAGCATTCAAGAAACAAAAAGCCTGAAAAATGTTTCACATGTCTACAGTATCCTACTTCCTTCCATTGGTCATTTAAGTTCCTTACCACTGTGCATTTTCCCACTATGAATAGAAGAGTGATGTTAGCATTAGTGCAGCCAAAGACCTAGGGGGTTGGCCGTATGGTGAATGACATATCTGTCAATCAGTTGGCACACTAATCATCTATAGTAGGGGCTCCCCACCTTTTCATGACCACAGACCGGTTCACATTGCGCATAAATGGCACAGACTAGTAAAACTTGTCGACTGGGGGGCAGGGCAGTGAATCAATTGGCGGGATAGAACTAATATATTTAACCATTTCCATCTTTTTCCAATACAATCAAAACACGTGAGCGTCAAGGATCATTAAAAAAAAAAAAAAAAAACTTAAAAATATATAGCGGATTGAATACTCGCTGTGGACTGGGGATTGGGTACCCCTAATCTATAGTACTGTGAGAAGACAGGTGTGTTGCACGTTATTAGTGATTGTGACTATGAATGGTCCCATTTATCTTGTTCACAAAAAATAATGTATTAAACTCTGAACAGTTTCACATTCTGGGTTAAGACCTATTACAGCTAAAATACACTGTATAATTCACTATGCATAAAAATAAATTTTAAAGTCTATTTACCACTGTATGTATACTGCAAATTGCACAATGGATAAATAATGGTTCTTATATAATATGTCTAGTGACATGCTGACACACTGCTAACATTTTGGAACAAAGACACTATTTTCCCCTTTTTAGCTGACATGGAATCAATGTTTACCGAATATGACTAAAGAATATCATAAAGTATCAATGTATAAATTGACAGTAATTGTATTTTAATAGCTTGCTTTTCCCAGTAACTTCCTGTAAATAGATGCAGCCATGTTTTTCTTTTAACCTTCAGTTTTTTGCTGAATTTTAAAGGGATTGCTTGCTTATTTTCGATGTTTGCTACTACTGCCACTTGCGTTTTTCACATCATAATACCTACCGTCCAAACTCAGAAACCCCCATAATCAAAAAGGAGCCTTTACTTCTCTGCCCCTTCTTGTTTCTGTGAGAATTCAGTTTTCTGCAGGCTAAAAAGCAAAATCATCACCGTGTCTTGATGTGCTGATGGTCCTTTCCTGAAGTATTTTGGTTCTGTGTTTTGTTTACGTGGTTCTTTCTATGTGCCCATATACCCAGGTCTAATAGTAAACACACACACACACACACACACACACACGCATGTGCACACACACACGAGCGCACACGCATGTGCACACACACGCGAACGCACAGACACACACGCACACACAGACACACGTGCGCTCGCACACACACACACACACACACACACACACACACACACACACGGAGCTAGAAATGTTGTGTGTGTGTCTGCTTTCTGTTGTCTGGTAAAATAAATAAAGAATACCACACTAATTTCTTTGTGTGACCATTTGCTACACAAATTTGCTATGCTATCACAACAGTCTTTGGCAATGCTGGTTAAACCATGTGATCACTTGCTCTCATTTTAAACAATCACAGGTGGACCTTACATCCCAGCACATGGGAGTGCTTCTTGTCATCCATCTCAGTCCTCTATGGTGATTCCTGCCCTAGAAGAAAACTCTTGGGGATCTGGATGCTTTGTTCTTCTCAAAAAAAACATGTTCCCTTCCCAGAAAATCAGGCTGGATTTTTTTTTTTTTTTTTTTTAAGATATTGAACTATTTCCATTAAAAAAATATGTCCATCTTCAAAGTTTGACCAGGTCTTGGTATTCATAGTAGGGGAGCAGTAAAACGTAGCGGCTATGAAGGTGTCACCACGTTATTCCTCCTAACTCTTATAAATGCTAGCTTATGCACCATTAGCAGCCATAATGCCTGCAGCTCAGACTAGGTAACCAGAAGCTACGCAGGTTAGGGCCTGGCCAGTACTTGGAGGGGAGACCAACTAGGAAAGCTGGGTTGGTGCTAGAAGAGGTGTTGATTTGGCCAACAGGTTAGTCCATCCTGTGGTCAGTGTGGATCCCAATGCATCTTCTGAAAGAGTAGGGATGGTACCCTTAGGTCCTGCCTAAAATTGCCCACTGTGGCCCTATCAAATCTGGCCTCCTAATCATCCCCTATATCTAATTGGTAGATTCTCTCCTGCCCCCCCACCACCACCCCCCCACCACCACCTTAGCTACTGTGTGGTGATTGTACTGGTGCAGAATGGCAGCCTTCACATCATTCAGGTGGGTGCTATTCGTACAGGTGGGAAAATATATATATACTTCATTTCATACACATCCAGAGCTCTTCCACAGTAAAAGCAGGTTCACGGGGAACTGTAAAATGAGACTGTAAAATCAATACCTTACAATCTAAACGGTAACACAGCAATGAGTGATCTCAACACACCTGGTTACATTCAAAATATCAGTTTACTGATTTCCACGAGAAAATATACACTTCGGAAATAAACTGCCAACATAAGATGTTTGCTTTTATTCTGAATTCATTTACTGAACCAGTAACTAGAAAGTCCCTGATGATTACAGAATGCCAGCAGCTGAAACGGCAAGTGAAGTGACTTTGAAGCCCTCTGAAAAGAGACTGTGGCAGATCTGAGGAAAACTACAATATCCTCCACGTCTGGCCACAGCCCAGGACAGCTTTCATGGAATGTTCACATGATGGCAAAGCTAGAATAAACCATGGACACACTGCCGTGTTTCTGTGTGGTCTTCCAGGACCATGTACAATTAAAGGGAGATGATGGTGGGAATTTCTGCTTCACTGGGGTAGGGGCAGGCTCAGCTGGTCCGCTCTGTAGGCGACATAGGCGATTGCCTAGGGCACCATTTGATTAGAGGGCGTAAAAGTGCGAGCAAAAAAAATCTGAATACCTCTGGTTGCATTCCATGACATTAGTTTGAATATATCACTTTTCTCGTGAAACAGGCACAAAATACCTAGTTAGCAGCCAGATAACTTATGCTACTGAAATGTTTTTAATACAAATGAACTGAAAAAAAATCCTTTTTTCTCTGGGGGGTGGGGAAGCTGGCATTTAAGCAAATCACGCCTAGGGCGCCAGAACACAAAGGGCCGGTGTTATTTTTTGTTGGATAAACTGTTGATTATAGCTGTCAAGTAATGCATCCCCTCTGTTTCAGACAAAAGTATGTGGAGATATCATAATGTAATCTGAATGTATCATAAAGGAAATGTTAATGGAGGACATATTGCATTGCAGAGCTTATGGCAGCTAAGCGAAATATGCACTGGTGGCACCATTTGATTGTAAGGTTTATGAAAAACAATAACACTGGGATGCATTATTTGGCAAGCTCGATTTTATAGCATTCAAAATTTGTATCCCCTCATTTCAGCCACGACGACTGTAGCATACTGTTAAGCCAAAACCGCCTAAAACACATATTGGTAACACCATTTGATTCTACAGTGTGTAAAAAGACAATTAAATGGGGATGCTTTATTCGGCAAGCGCAATTTCATAGCTGCCGAGATATGCATGAAATTCTCGGCATAATACCGGCCCTGGGCAGGGGTACTGTACAACAAAACGTGTACAATTTTTGCATTTGTAGAAGGTGAAAATGTCCCGGGGAGATGGATAACCAAACTAACAGACTTGGACCTAGTTTTCCGTCTCATGTGCGTTTGACTACGGAAGTCATTAGTTTCACTCCGATACTGTGTGGGGAAGTTAATCCCTTTTTTTTAAATCTTCACGTACATGACAACTGCTCCGGACTGCTTACTACACCATACTTCAATAAACTAAATGTAATCTAGAAAAACGCTGCCATTAACAATTCCGAAATTGTAAAATAGCGTTGCGATGAGCGTTTGCACGATCACCGCTGCACCACCTGACAGAGAAATCCGACGCAGAATTTAAAAACGTTTGTCAACGCAGACTGCGTCGCTGTAACAGAAATCGTCCCTGTCTTAAACATTATTCATGAAAGCAGGAAAGAACAAAAACATATCACTACCTGCAAAAATAACAGGCACAAACTGTAACGCTGCACCTTGCCAGCGCTGAGAGTACACGGTGTACCGGGGAACACGTAGAATGCGCAGTGACGTCACACCCTCCGTGACAGCTGAATGAGCAGAGTCTGTTTGCTTCCGTCTGGATTTTGTCTCTCTATATAACAGATATTGTGCAGAAGAGTAAGAAAACGTTTTACCACTAAATTAAGGCAATACTTTTATAAATTGGAAGGATGTGAATTTAATTTGGAATCTTATTCAGTTTTGAACATTCCATGCACACTATGCCAAATATGGACAATCTAAACCAGAGTTTTTCCAGCTGAATTAAATCTGTTTACTATGTCCTTTATAGGAGTTTTACTCGCTAGGAATTTAACTTTAGGCCATGGGAATGAAAGTTATAGATTTGCGTCCACCGCCCGCATGTCTTGACAGCCGCCGCTATAAAAATTTCATTATTGGCAAAAATTTTCATTATTTCCACAAAAAAATCAAACTGTTACACAAAATGTCTTTCCCATTAAAAATGATGCTGTATGAAGCTTTTCACGCCATGTCTACTCACTCTTGTCGCTGATTTAGGCTTAGTCTTGCTCTGAGAAGCGCGCGCCTTGATCAAACGATTACGCCCTGCTGCCTGCGCTGCGATGTTGTCGCCAATACACGGCATCATTTACCGACTTTAAACGACGATTCCCGATGATTGCCGAAGGATATTGAAGCGAGCAATGCGATTGGTCAACACCTATTCCCGATTTCTGCAACATCGATCGATCCAGACGTGAATGATATGTAAAAGTCATTTTTTCCACGACTAAATCCAAATAAATGTTGAAATGACTGCTCTACGTATTTAATGTAGATGATGAACAATATGTGAATATCTGTGGTTCATAGTTATTTATTTTTTTCTATTTTACATAAGATTTTATGATGCCAGTACACAAGGGGGCAAAAGAGGTCAAATCTAAATTCTAAGTAAAATAATGAAAACTCTAAAATAATGAATAATGAATAATTTTAAAAAGCCGCATCACTTTTTTGGATTGCCTGGACACAAGTCTATAACTTTCATTCCCATGGCCTTATCTGTGTTACTGTTATTGTGACACCCATCCAATCACTTACCACTCAGTAGTCACCACTCACAAGACTGTTGTGATCGAGTGGACAGAGATGGATATGGTCTCATTCCTGCACAGGTGAGAGGCTTATGATTGGATTCTGTACCACAGAGAAGCTCACTGGCAGCAGAGAGCAGCCGAATTTGGGCAAACAGAAGCTGAACTAGTCCGTTGAGAGCTATGAAACAGGAAATACTTCAAGTCTGAAAACAAGTCTGATGATCAGTAAACATTCCAGTATTCTTCATTTTCATTCTCACATTAAATGGTTGGTGTTGGAGAGTCTTAAAAATAAATTATCATAAAACCTTGTAACATTTCTTCTGCAGGAGATTTCATCCATCGATTTTCTGTAACTGCTTGTCCTAGTTAGGGTCACAGGGGGTCTGGAGACTAACCCATCACAGGGCACACTCATGGGCAATTTAGTAACACTGTGGGGGGAAGCCAGAGGACCAGGAGGAAACCTCACAACGACACATGGAGAATATATAAACTCCACACCTGAAGCTTGGACACATGAAAGAGACTTGAACCCTGGTCCAAGAGGTGTGCTAACCACTGCAGCACCCCCAGATGATTTCAGCTGCACTTAAAAAATTGCAAACTGGAATACTAAGAACCATGATATCAGTCTGCAGAAGTATAATCTCATCATGAAACACCATATACAGTGATCCCCCGTCTATTGCGGAAGATGTGTTCCAGACCCATCAGCGATAGGTGAAAATTCGAAATATATAAAGACCATATATAAATAAAAAAAATAATAGTTTAAGCCTTAAAATACCCCTTCCACATGCTTTAAATACATGTAAACTTATTAAAACAACACATATGATATGTATAAAAACTTTTAAAACTCAGTATGAGTACTCACCAGTGAAGATACACTCCATAACTTGAATGATGATGATGAATTAGCTGTGCAGTACACGATGAAGTACGTATGTAGGGGATGAAGGTAATGAGTACGTACTGCACAGCAAAGCAGAGCATTTACAGCTCTTCTGAGGGTACCGTCGATTCATTCAAGCCATAATGGCTTGGATGAACCAGCCTTCATCCCTTTCTTTGCTAAAGACGAGTCTGTTGGCCACTTATTCATGGCAAACAATATTTATTGTTGAGTAAAAAGGGCTTACGCTGTACATCCCATAAATTATGATTCAAAAATAAAGTCATACACTGTACACACTATTATTTAGAATTTGTTCATCTAGTTACTTCGGGTGTACACAAAGTGCCACACAGATTATATTTACAATCAACAAGCTTGAGAGACACACAGTTTCTCCTGACTGAATAATAGGTTTTCTGCTCGAATATGAATGGAATTCAAGGGAGTGTCAATGTATCCGCCTCCATTCGCCAGCAGTGGGTGGTCTGATGGCTACTCCGGCCACCCCTTGCGGGCACACGGGCATCTAGCATTGCTCTTCACCACCATGACTTCTGGCACATTGTAGTCTCACCCTTTTGTATCCATTACATTCAACGGCTTTGTCTTCAGCTCACAGAGACATACTGATAACACACCATTTAGCACCTTCCCCTTGATATAAAATTTGCACTCATAAATAGAACACACTGAAGAAATAATTTTGAAACGATGTGTGCCTTAACACTCTGATTTGTGTGCTACATGCAGCATGTTCTGTCTCACTGACCATGCTGTGTTTCACAAGGCATTCTGTCATTCTAAGGCTACAGTCACCCAGTAAAACTTCACGGTTAACATCTAAGAGGATTAGCCTTCTAAAACCCATAAATGATGACATAAAAAGTCTAAAATGGGTAAAAAGTGTAACTTCGGTTAAAAGAATGATTGATATACTTGTAATCTGTGTGGACATAATTATAGTCCAACAGCCACCCCTTAGAACTTCCTGTAAAAGTGAAGAAATGAAAAAAGACTGGATTCTACATCATTTCTAAACAGAAATGAATAGAAGCAAATGATCAGTTTGAACACGGTTGTAAAAAATGCTTTCAGCCATAAAAACTGCCAAGGGAACTCACTGCCGGGATAATATCTGTTCTGTCTTTGTGACGGAGACGTCCCACATAAAGGTCCCATCCCGAATCCTCATAGGGCAGCAATGGTTGTCTCACAGACTTTGGGGACGTGGCTGGGTCCGGGTTGGGATTTCCGTGGCTCACGTGGGAGGGGGTCCATTGGTGTAGTGTAACATGGGGTAAAATGAACGGGCGAAGTTATTGGAGAGAGCACAGCTGTAGTCCTCTTCAGACAGCGGTACCAGGCAGGCCAGCACCAGCAGCAGGAGGAACAGCAGGTGCAGCGGGAAGGCGGCACGGAGCACGCGGAAGAAGAATGAGCGTGGCGGGGACGGGTCCCTCTTCATGACCCTGGGGGTCACAGGAAGCCAGAGACAGGAAGTCAGAGACAGGAAGTGAATGGCTTTGTCATGCAGGCACAGCATTGCTGTGTCTTTCAGAGTTGGGTAATTCAGGTCCAGAGAGTAAAAATCCAGACCGGGATTTTGTTTCAGCCAACCAGTTGAATACTCTGTGACTATGACTGTTTATGCTCAACTTGTTGGTTGAAACAAAATCATGGTCTGGACATTTACTCCCTGGACCTGAATTACCCAACTCTGGTGACTTTGCATGGATGTCCAAACTGACTTACAGACATTTAACATGGTTAGCATTCCCATTCATATTTTCAGCCCTATTAAGTTTCAGGATATCTGAAAAACCTCATTTATTTTTTTATGTTGCACTCCTATTCTATACTACTCTTCTTGGAATCACAGTGCAATAATTGTTCCAATGTATTCCCCTGTATAGTGAACAGCCTGTTATATTGTCTCTCTGTTGTATCATGTTGTAAATTGTGTATATTGTGTATATTATAGTCTAAACATTATATATCTTGTGTAGTGTTTTTAAGTTGAGTTCTGCGTGGTGTAACCATTTCATGTTGGGCCTCCTGACAAATTAAGCCTCTGATATTGATCGTGATTCGGGAAGCGGCACGCTGACAGACAGCGGCTTCCTGAGAAGAGGGCGCCCCCCCGGAGGGGCGCGTATACCTTTGGCCGGCCGGGGAGTCCGCCTCAGTGGCTCTGCCTCCTCCTGCCTCCTGTGGACACACAGCAGATGATACCACTTCAGAGGACACGCACACCCCCTTTGGTACTCAGTTTAATCACTTCCTGCGGAGTAACCCACAGCTTTGCGTCAACCTGACGCTGTTCCACCTACCGGCTTACAATAACAGCACTGATGTGGTCCAAAACCAGAAAGTAAGAGTTTTATGTCCCTGAAATCCTTCACAAAGGTGCCTGCGTTTACTGCTTGATTTAGTGTCTTAAGCATATTCAACGTTACATAATCAAATCATCTATCACTTGCATCCCTTGTCCTAGATTAATAATAGGTCAGCAAAAATGGGCTGTGGGAGAGGATGGCAGGATTCAGTCTGCTTCAGGGAGACGTCCCACCTACATACCTTAGGTCGCGAAAACTGGATGCTGATTGGTCCTTGGTCGCTGAACCCGCCTCCTGTTGTGCGTGAGCCGGGAGACCAGGACTCCTGAAAGACCACAGAGGTAGAGTTTCACACTGAGCCAGAAACACTGACTCCTGGCACTACAAAGCACGTCCACATTTGATTAGCGGCTACACACGCCCCCTCCTCGGTGACAGCGGGCACGTACCAACCGCGCCTCCAGCGTGCACAGGTCGTGCGCCACCTGCCGCAGCAGCAGCCGCAGCTTGTTGGCGATGACGTGCACCTTCTCCTTGGCCTCGGTGCTCTCTTCACCCAAGGCATCCACCAGTAGCTGGGAAGAGATCTCCTGCAAAGCGCGGACCTGCTCCCGCCGCCCCAGCAGCTCCCCCTCCAGACCCTGCCACAAGGGGGCGCAACGCACCCGTAAACACATGGCGGAGGTATTACACAGTCTGACTTTGACTAACTGGCCCTTGGTGGCCAGTTAGTCTGTACAGTTACAGTGACTGTACAGTTATATCTTCATGGATTCTCAAAGAAGCCTCATCACCATGGAAACAGGAATACACTGACTATAATGCTCTGATTTCACTTGTCAAGATGTCTTTTATTTCATTTAGTGTTCCCTGAGCCAGACTAGTGCCAAGCTGTCACGCGGTTCTGAATGGACTGTAATGCTCCCCTCACCCTGAGGGTGGCGTGCTGCTCCAGCAGCCTGCGGCGCTCCAGCAAGGGGTCATGGATGTCCACGCTGTAGCGCCGACTCTCCACGTGGGCCAGCAGCAGAAGCAGGCCGTGGAGGGTCTCGTGGAACTCCTGAAAGGTCGGGGAGGGGTGAAAGGTTATTCAAGGCATGGAACACATCTGCAGGTGGCGCCGCTGTGCCTGATACTCAATCAGCCTCATTAACTCGGGACGGACAGTCGGCACCTGCTAAAATCTCTCATACTAACACGGGCACAGCATCCTAAAACTAACCTTGCTGATGTTACAAAGACAAGGAAAAGAATTCATCAATCAGGGCAAGAATTAGATAGGAATTAGTTAGTCTAGTACATTAGTGATTATTTTATTGAACCATTTAAGCTGATTTTGGAGAGGAAGTGAAGTTTGAGCAGTAGTGCCTTAGGGGGTGTCTGGCTCTGCCAATAAGCTAGCAATGCCCTGTACCGCCCCCCCCCCCCCACTCACCTGGCACTCCATGAGGGTAGCATGCAGCCGCTGCCCCCAGCCCTCCAGGCAGGCGCAGGCCCGAGCCCAGTCCCGGTTCATGTCACGCAAGCTCTGCTGGAGCTCCTGTAGCTCCCCGCCGTCCACGGCGCTGGCCTGCTGGAGGTCGCCGGCTCCCAGGTTTGCAGAAATCATCACCGCCTTGTAGCTCTCAAAGGCCTTCTGCATCTCCTGCGAAGGGGAAGAGCAGAGATGGAACAGCGGAGGTCAGAAGTCAAATTATCGCACATTTAATCATTCACAAAGCTGACCTGAAAGAACTTCATTGATTTCTTAAGTATTAAGAATGACTCAAAGAGTTAGTAAAATGTTCTAGACAGAACACAACAGGCTTTTTGTCTAACAAGAGTCTAACAAGATATGTTGCACCAGGAATGACAAATCCTTCAGATTTAATTTTAAGGATTTAATTAAAGTAATAAGTTACTGAGTAATCAGTTGATACTGACAGGGGATGTACCAGCTGTACTCAATACTGGATAAATTAACCATAATTGTTTATGGTAAGGGTTAGCTGAGTAGGTTAACCACAACTTCGACGAAGAGTAAGATTGCCTTGAGTTTCCTGATGCTGGCCTCCATGTCCTGGATGCTGCTGGGTCCTTCCCGTCCCAGTTCACTCTCCAGCTCAGGCAGCACCCGGCCCAGCCAGGCTGTGATGGCGCTCAAGTCACAGGCTCGCTGCTGCCCCTGCTGGACGTCCCGTTGGCCGCACAGCTCGGTGTTCAGTGTCTGTGCCTCTAACAGCTCCCAGCGCTCGATCACCCCTGTGCGTGTGGGAAGGGTGTGGGTCAGGAGCTGAGCGGCTGTGAGGAGAGCGTGCAGGGAGCCCCCCCAAGGCCCAGCCGGGCCGCCGTCCGCACCTGTCTGCTTGTCCACACTGGCCAGCCCGGTGAGCCCCGGCTCCCCCTCCTGGTCACTGCCGCTCAGCATCCTCTTCACACGCTTCACGCTGTCGATGCTCCCACTGCACTCCAGCATCAGCTTGGCCTGTGCGGGGGAGGAGGGGTGGGGGGGGTTACATCACCGTACTGCACTTCAATAAACAGCCCCGATTATTCTTTGACCCATCATGTCGAAAAACACTGCAGCACATTACCACTTAAACCAGTGTTTCCCAATCCGGTCCTCAGGGACCCACAACCGGTCCATGTTTTTGCTCCCTCCCACCTAGGGCGAAAATGTGGATTCTCTGGCAGGGAGCAAAAACGTGGACTGGCTGTGGGTCCCCGAGGACCGGATTGGGAAACACTGACTTAAACCCATGTTAGCGTGCTCATCATAGACTATAGACTGCGCATCTTGCCCAGAGATCAGGGCTTAAATAGGAAAGTTAGGAGCAGGCCAGCCGCGGGCGGCAGACTCACATAGCCCTGCTGGTAGGGTGTGCTGCTTGGCGGGTCATGGGAGGCCAGCCTTTGCATGCTGTTTCTGAGCAGAGTGTTCCTTCTGCGGGACTCCGGTGTGTGCCACGTGGGAGGCTCACTCATGGACTTCCCTGAAAGCCAAAGGAACTCGCAGTGAGACCCGGACCCGGCCGTTTGGTCTGACCCAACCCGACCGCTGAATGCGTTACTGGGCGAAAGCCGCAGCCAGATGCTAGCGCATGCAGAGCGGATCAATGCAGCAGCCTCTCTGTTCTCTTAATGCGACATCACAGGTTGAGATGGGGAGGTTGCACAATGGCCCTGGTGAGCAGCTGAGGACAGCCTCTACTCCCCTGAGCACGTGGCAGCATAAAGCAGAGCTGGTGGGGGGGAGGGGCCATGCTGGCATTTACCCCCCCAGCTCTACACTGGAGGGGACCGGGAAAATGGGCAGCCGGGAGACCTGGGACTTGATGGCAGAATCAGTAAAAACAGATCAGTGGGTCGTTGGGGGGAGGGGGGGATAGAGGGAGGTGATGGTACGACAGTGAGGGTGATGTGGTCAGGTGATATGGCATGATATGGGTGCTGACTTATGCCAGGTCATCACCAGACGATGTTACAGACACATGCAGCAGGCAAGTGCCTACCAAGGGCTGCCTGCAGAGATTTGGCAGTCGCCTGTACAAAGGACTCTGGGCTTTCAGTGATTTCTACATCTGCAAGAGAAGAAGGGAGATGTCTGCCTATGGAGGCCGTGGGAGCCAAGCGATGGTGCTGCAGGACAGCCCCGACTCGGATGCAGCCTGGGGACGAGGGCGTGAGCTCTGGGCACTCCTGCGGGGCTCACCTGACAGGGTGCTGTAGAACGTGACGTCGTCCTCGTCCTCGGGCGAGGAGGAGCCGCCCACATCGCCCGTGTGGTCCCACTCCAGCGGGATGGAGTCCACGCTGGCGGGAGTTTCCCGGCCCGAGGGCTCCAGGGGCGGCACCAACACCTGGCACACGGTGTGGCGGCCCACCACGGCCAAGCCCTCCTCCTGCCAGGAGTCCCCGGACAGATCCATGGAGTCCTCCAAATCCGTGTCCCGTTCCTCTTCCAGAACCTGGGAAAGGGGAGGCCGTAAGGTGATCAAGGGGGTCTGGCACGTTAGGGGGTACTCAGACGGACGGTGTGCCTGGCACACCTGGAGGGGCACTGACCGGCCGGCGGCTGATGAGCCGCTGGTGGAAACGGGCCACGCGGCCAAACACCTCCTGGCAGTAGGAGTGCAGCTCCTCCAGCTCATCCTCGATGAGCACAGCGTCCAGTGCCGCGCTCTTCTGGATCAGGTTCTCCCCGAACACAATCAGCTGGTCGATCTTGTTGGTGTTGAGAGTGATCTCCTGCTGGAAGCCCTGGGAGATGGATGGGGTGGTCAGCAGCGCCGTGCACGTCTCCATGTGTGTGTGCGTCCATGAGTGCACGAGGGACCTACGTCGAGCTGCCGCATCTTGTCGTGTATGTCGCTCTCGGAGAAGTGCTCCACATTGGTGAGCTGAAGGTCCATCTCGGTCAGCCACACCAGAAGCCCCTCCCGCGTGCCCTCAAACTCCTCCCTCTGAGACGTGAAGTGCTGAGGAAAAGAACGGGAATGGGGGTGGGATCATTATATAATTCTCATACAGTAATCAACAGTAATACCCTACAGCACTATCAGCCATTTTAAATGCAAGTGGTTAAGCATTCCTGATTGGATCACATTCAAACAGAGACTCTCCTATAATGTGCAATATGCAGCATCACCAGCCCGATATGTGACTATCCATGATACACACTTAACATGGGTTGCATGTGTTCAGAGTTGGGTAATTCAGGTCAAGAGAGGAAAAGTCCAGACCGAAATTTTGTTTCAACCATCCAGTTGAATACTCTGTAACTGTGACTTTTTATGCTCAACTGGTTGGTTGAAACAAAATCTTGGTCTGGACCTTTACTCTCTGGAACTGAATTTCCCAACTCTGCATGTCTTCATACAGGTGCTTTAAGCGCAACAGTGGTCACTCCTGTCGGTCAGCTATGCCGTGCTTTTCCGAGCAGCAGGTCATAGTCTGACAATGTCCTCCATGAGTGATACCCCGCTTTGTAATATTTTTGACATTTCCTAAACAGCGCCCCCTTGTGTCACCTTGAGTCTGCGCAGGATGGCGGTCACACGCCGCTGCAGGCTGTCCCACCGCTGGTTCCCCTCCTGGACCATGAGCTTGAGCCTACAGGCTGTGTCGGTGCGGTTCTCCCGGGCCAGGCGCCGATACTGCTTGTTGACCAGCTCCAGCTGTGTGAGGCGCTCATGGATCTGCCTCTGAAAAGCCTGTGGGAAGGCAAGGGGCCTTCCGTCACTGACCCCAGATCAGCTTCTCATCTGACAGTGATGCAGCCAGCAGTGCTTAACTCCTTCCTTAATAAATTATCAAAAGCAGCTAAATATAGGTCAGTAAAAACCACACGAAAGGCACTGACCTCAAACTTCTTCAGCTCCTCTTTGGCAGTGGTGTACAAGATGTCTGCAGAATTGGGGTTTGCCACGATGACCTCTGACATCTTCAGCCAGTCCTCGAAACGGGAGTAGTCGTCCAGGAACCTGACCCACAGCCTCCACGTCTCCTCGATCCTGCGGCCAGATGTCAGCCACGAGCCAGTGAGGGGGGGGGGGGGTGCAAACACGGACAGGGTAGCAATAAGGCGACTCAGAAGTGATTTGCTGGCTGAAGGAAAGCCAGACGTGCGACAGGGACGACCTGCAGGACGAGGACGTGTGAGTGGACAGCGCACCATGCACCCACCTCATCCTGCGCTCCATGGACATGGCGCAGATGTTCCTCCAGCGGCGGTCCAGGCTGCGCGTCGTCTCCTGGATGGACTCGCTCTCGGTCTCGGTGCTGCAGGCGTCCGTGTCACGCAGCAGCACCTCGCACAGGGTCAGCACCGACGCCACGCCCTCCGTGTGCTGCTCGATGTCCCTCTGCAGTTCCTGCGTGCGCAGACATGGGCGCATGTAAATGCAACGGCAGACAGGATACCTAGACGTGGACCGGCAGTTCATACGCCTTGCCCAGCGTACCTCAGAGCCTCAACTTGCAGTAACAGAGTAAAATGATCAGCCTTGGAAACACAACCCAGCCCAGTGAACGATACACGTTTCAATGAGGGCTGCTCCCTTCAACGATAATTTACTGATATGTAAATAAATAAATGTAGTGCTACAGGACTCGTCTCAGGTACAGGACTTGCTTAAGGTACAGGATTCTTTTGTGGTACATGACTCGCCTGAGGTACAGGACTCTCCTAAGGTATAGGACTTGCCTGAGGTACCGGACTCTTTTATGGCACAGGACTCGTCTCAGATACAGGACTTGCTTAAGGTACAGGATTCTTTTGCGGTACATGACTCGCCTGAGGTACAGGACTCTCCTAAGGTACAGGGCTCTCATAAGTTACCGCCATAAAGGTGAAGTTCTTGCTGGTTCTAAGACCACAGGCAGAAAAGTAGGGTCTCTCCTGTCGATTATCTTCCCCTGAGCGGGTCTCAGAGCAGCAGGTTCAGCCTGGTACCCACCTGTTGCTCTACCAGTTTCCTCTGGATCTCGTCACTGTGGCAGACGCTGTAGACCACGGGCGTGGCCAGCTCCGCCTCCACGCGGGACAGCCAGGTGCGCAGGTTACTCATGTTTTTTTCCAGCTGCTGCACAGTAACCAGCGTGTCCTTCAGCTTCCGCACCCTGTACACAGGCAGACACCGTGCTAAGCACACACAGCTTCATACACAACGGGTCTGCTGGCCACAGGGCCAGTTCAAATAACAGCAAAAACAAATTTCAAAAAAGCAAGAGAGAAAGTCAGTCTTCCTGACAGGAACTCATCCTTAACAACTATGCTACCTGCTCAGCTAATATTGCACATTATTATTATTTTCCTGCTATCTGTCCTTTAATAAACTCTTTAACGAAGTCAAACCACAGACACACCTTGGCATATAGCAGTATTTCCCAACCCAGTCCTCGGGGAACCCCGGACAGTCCACGTTTTTGCTTCCTCTCAGCTCCTAGTGCACCTGTTACAGGTATTCAGTGTTCCTGATTGGCTGGGGGCTGGAAGGGAGCAAAAACGTGCACTGTCCTGGGTTCCCCAAGGACTAGGTTGGGAAACACTGGCATACAGGATCCTAATACTGCATAGGCGACCTTTGACCCTGAAGGGGAAAACAGCCAGGTTCTGCAGCTGTCATCACAATCATGTCTCTCTGCTTTAACATGTCAGCAAATCTGCAGGAAAGATCTGATGTGCGTGATTATCTGGTACCAGACACAGAGATGTAACGCTTACATCTACACAGAGGAGACAACCGTGGAACAAAGACACGGGTGTGACCTGTAACATGAGAGCGCGTGCGATCGGAGCAGCCCGGGTACGACGCGTAACACGAGACGGAGCTACGGCAGCAGCACGGTGCTGATCGCCCATCAGGGAGCCACGGTGACAGCACAGCCATCTTGGCTGTCCCTGCAGCCGGGCTGTTGTCGTGCCGATGCATGGCTAGGGGCTGACCGACGCTGTCGGGAGCGACGGCTGCTTGTGCCTCACAGAGGATGCTCCTCTATCTGCAGAGCAGCTGTCTCCCCTGGCTACCGGTGCCGTGCTCACGCTGACATAACGCCGCCCCCCTCCCCCCTCCCCACGACACGTACAGAGACGTTCCCTGCGAAAAGCCACTAATCCCGCAGCTGTCGCAAGTGTGCCAGAGTGTGCCGGATGCTGCATGCGGGGCCCCGGCGGCTACTTACAGCTGGCAGGGCTAATGCGGCGCTCGCCATCCACCGCGACCTTTCCTACAGCTCCGCCTCCGTCACGCGCAGAGATACGCCGCACGCCGCCTGCTCCCCCCTCCCCCGCGCGAGTCCAGAAGCCCTGCTTAGCCTGCACACACGTGCACGGACACGCGCAATGCTGCTGCGGGGGGCAGTGAAACAGCCTCAGTAAAAGGGGTGGGGCTCTTTTGTGCTCAGACGGACCCACAGTGGCTGATAATAGCCTCTTATGTAAGATGCGACTGGATGTGATGTAATACTTCTGCACAGAGGCATGAAATTGATTTGATCTTCTTTCACTATAATCCTATTATTTATGCGTGGAGCAGCGAAGAGCCCGGATCTTAGGCACATCTGTCTAATGCGCACCGATTTAACTTGACTCAGCAGGAGAACTAATTTTGCATCAATTTAAGACCAGTGTTCAGATCTGACCTGAAAATATCATCAGCCAACAGGACTCAGAGGAAAAAATATGTCGCCTGTTTCCTGCTAGTTTTAGGAGTCATAATGCCTTAGATGTCACTTATCTATGACTGTTTCTGAGACCTGCACCTTTAAGCACCACTCAAAGTGCCCTGTAGAATGTAGTGTGGACTGTTGCCATGGGGACACCAAAAGAAAACTCACTGGACATTACCATAATAAAAATTCAGGTACCAAGATATTAAACTACATGTTCTTCAGCGTTCAGGCAGTTTGAGCCGCACATCCAGGACTTTAATCAGATTGGCCGTGCGGCCCCACTACAAGCTACCCTGTCGGGATCCGTGACGACGTCTCCGCTAGCTGGAGCTGACTGGCACTGTGAGGACTGTCAAACAGGCATCAAGCACCTGCCGTGTAGATTAGCCCATGCTGCTTTCAGAAACGGGCAAGGAGGCAGCATAAAGAAAAGGCTCTGAGTGGCGTTCAGAGCTGGGATTAGATGTCAGTCGAAGGAAGTCCAAGGATAGGAGGATTAACTGATTAAGAGCTACTTTTCATGGTCTGCACAGATACCACTGTCAAAGGCAGACACAGGACCCCCAATTGTCAACAAGGAGGAGTGAGATTCATGCCTTATCTAAAGAGCGGTCAGTGGGCTTCCAAGCACCAGGCCTTGCCCCCCCCCCCCCCACCACTGCATTAATAAAGGCTGAAAAAGCCCAGTTCCGTTGCAAACCCTATTTTTCTTCCAACAGTGCGTCAAGCATTCCCACAGACACCGAAACACAGGCTCTGGCGGGAGAAGGAAGGGCCAGCAGGGTTTTGGACACACTCCAAACAAAGCCACCCCCCACCAGAAACCACTCACACACCCCCACCCCCCCACCCTCACTCCGAGGCCCCAACCACTCCCGCCTCAAGATCCAAGCCCTGAAAATCACCATGGTAACCAAGAAATCAGTGATACACCAAGATATTTCAGCACAAGTTATTACCACGGCTATAAAAACTCAACAAAGACAACATTTTTCAACTGATGGCACTTCTTATTTGGCACGGCTCTTACGGCATTCCAAATTGCAACACTTAAAAAGAAGAGCCATACACCCAGCAGAGTGGTAATTTTAACAATCCTGACACAGAATCTCACTGGAGACAAACCCCAAACCATAATTTGTACATTTTAAGCGGTTCCCTGCCCATCTCACACCTGCTCAATGGTTACAACATGGCAGTCAGCTCCATCTCCAATCTCCAAAAGAGGGGGACAATAAAGAACACATCTGCCATACTCTGGGGGTGGGGGGGGCAGTGGGAGTATCAGGAAGACCACTACAATGGACTGAGAGCAGGCAGCAGCTGCAGGACCCAGTGCCTTTGTCCCAGCTTGTTCTGGGACAAAAGAAAATGATAGTAGCGATCTTCAGCTGTGGCTTTTGCAGAGCACCCCTCCCAAAGCAGTAGAGCCCCCTCCCTGATAATTGACTGCCTTCTTCTCAGAATGCACCGATGGAAGACCTTCATCTACCTCCCACAGAAATGGGCTGAAGGCTCTGCAGTTCACAGAGGGAAATGCCCTGATTCTGGGAAGCTCAATCCACCTCACTCAGTGTCTGTTTCAGGAAAATGGGATCAGACCCTTCAGCACATTCACACAAATGCGCAATGAGAAAACAGGAGGGTGTGGAAGGAGCCGCTTGTCTGTGAGGTAAGCCAAAAGAACACAAGGTAAACCAAAACAAGACAATCATCAATTAATCAAACACTGGAACAAATCCTAAGCCCTGTTTGTTCGCCAGCTAATTACTACTGGCGATTACTAATCTGTGATCTCTCACAAAAGTGTGTTAGGAAGGGTCCCACCTGAATCAATGCCTGAACACCACACGGGTCAACAAGACATTTTTGCCCTTATAGAGTTACTCTACATAATAGTCCACTGCTGACTGAGGATCACAGATGTTCAAGTTAGACGTGTCCAGAGAGGGTAAAGGATATCTAGACACGGTAGTGTAATGATGATCTGAAGTGTAGGTGTTTCTTGTGCTGCTTGCACTGGCGATTCAGGGAATGGAAGCCCAGCCAGGCAGATGGTCATGAGTGCCATGTGCCGCCACCCTTAATGCCCTTGCCGGGGCACATCCATTGTGCCCTGCCGACCTCTCAATGCTAATTCTGATGGACTGGCCCCTCCCCCCTTGTCAATCAAGAATAGGAGCTAAGCCATCTGGCTCACCTACGAGTTGCTGTCCTTCTATAATTCCCTTGGCTTCAGCCCCGTCACCCATCTGGTCATAGTGGGGGTGTGTCTTGGGGGGTCAGCTATGCCCCGGCTACACCTGCCTCAAGTGCGATCAGACATGTGGCCCTAATGCTTTTTCAGGTTTGCAACCATGCCCGCTTCTTTGCAAGACGCATCAACAGAAAAACGACATCTTTATAAATACCACCCAGCTCTCGCGCAGGCTGGAGGACTGGACACTGTGTTCCTCTGCGGGGTCGGAGAAGGCCATTGAACCTCGTTAGCTGGAATGGCCATAAGGGCTGCAAGCGTAGCCGATCGATGACGTCAACGAGGCTTGATGAGGCGCAAGATGATACCAGAGATCAAGGAAATCAAAGACCGCTCCACAGTCCTTAGGCACCAACTGCACACGCAGAATAGGCACTGCATTCATATACGCACAGTAAATTATTTGGGGGGGGGGGTCAGGCAATGACAGGACTTTCAATATACCTGGCTGGCAATTCAAGAGTGAATCTCCAAAGAAAAGGAGACGAGTTATACCAGAACACCTGCATCTCTCTCTCAACAGTCAGTACCCCAGTCTCTCTGGCCTTAAGTGGAGGACAATCCAGGCCAAATTATTACCAGTTGACCTACAGTCATCAACCTGAATGGTTGATTCTCCACACAGAGATTTCTGAGAAACAGGACAAGCCCTCTTCCTTATGCGTCAACAACAGGCCCAGAAAAGCCTGCAGCATTCCAGCACGGACCCAGCTGCTCTAACACATTCAGAGAGTGTTTTGCTGGCTCCCCACCACCGCTGGACTGGCCTTTGGACTGGCAAGGTGCTCCAATCACAATCTCCACCCCCACCCTCCTGCTGCACTCACCTGGCCTCTATGTGGTCAAAGAGGTGTTGCCAGCGGTCGCTGACGTCCGCCAGCTTATCGCTGACCTCAGCCACCTTCGCTTTGTCGCTGGCCTGGATCAGCTGCTCCCCCAGCTGCTTCAGGTGGGTCTTATTCTCGCTGAAAAGGTTGATCTCCTCCATGCAGTCCTGCCGAGGGTCAGGAGGGGTCGACTTTGTCATAGAGTCCCCCGTCACTCGCACACACGTCAGCACACAGCCCACCCTGAGGCACAGACACACGAGGAAGCACTGTCCTCACAAAGGGTCACTGCCACCACCCCCCCACCCCTATTCAGCTGGAAATAAGCGATAGGGTCCTTTTGACCTGGCCGGCCCATGGCACAGATCCACATCAATTGAGCCCTCTGTGACCCGGCTGGCCGCTCGTTGATCATTCAGCACAGCAGTGCTATTCTTTGTTTATCCCCCGGGGATGGACTTTGGTCAGCTGGACCGGTGTCGGTGACATCACCCACTATCGTGACCTGGCATTGGTTGTGAAAACTTTTAAAAATCTTTTCCATAAAATCTTCTGCCTCACTAACAACCTGCTGACACATCATTCAGTCTGATTATCCTCAGGGTGCAGGAACAAGATTAGATTGTTCACAAAATTAGATTATGATTAGAAACAATCTGTTATGGCATGAGGAAATCACATGGGTTAACCATTAATCCATAATCCACTTGCGGTTATATTATTTATTATGTTCTTCCTGACTGAGATTTTATTTTTATTCCTTTCCAGATAAACAATATTACTCTGACTACAAGTTGATTGTGATTTTTAATTGCCATATACATGAAAATGTTTTATGCTGTGATATCATTTGCTGTTTTATGCTGAAAAATAATTTGAAGCTTTTGGCGTATGTTATTGAGAGTCAAAAACAGGTAGAGGAGGAAAGTTCAGGTCCAGAAAGTAAAAATCTAGACCAAGGTTTTGTTTCAACCAACCAGTTGAGTATAAATAGTCACAGTCACAGAGAACTCAACTGGTTGGTTGAAACAAAACCTTGGTCTGGATTTGTAGTTTCTGAACATGAACTATCCACCTCTGCCAATAAGTTTCCTTTATATATCACAGGGCCCTTAGCATTGCGCTCCACAGAGCATCCGCTGCAGCCAGTATGATGCCGCGAGTGGGCGGGGCGACTCAGGGAACCCTCCTCACCTTCTTCAGCTTCTCCACCATCTCCTCGATGCTGAGATCCGTGCTGTGCGCCACCTTGTTTTCCATCTGCGTCAGCCATTCGCAAAGCTCCTTGTTCTTCTCATTGAAAATGATCCAGGCGTTGAGTCTGTCGGCAATCTCCTGCTTGCGCAGGGACACCTGCAGGGGGGGCAGGGCAAACAGAGGATGTGCCGGGCAACACTGCAGAGCCACGAGGCCGACTGAAAGGACTAATGAGTTGCACCACTAAACGAGGATAGGGAATTAAAAATTAATTTAAAAGCCACACCCAGACCAATAAATACAGACATAAAGAGTTCAGAGGTCTTGTTAATCTAAATGTGTACAGATGGTGTCCATGTGTCTTTGTGTCAAGATACATTCAAGCCTGGCTACCTTGGTCTTTATTTGTACACAGACCAGGGCTGTGAATCTTACTGTGTTTCTCAGGAACATGCAAGTCAGAGCCGGGACTGCGCTGGTCCTCGGAGAGGAATGTCACAAGAACCTCAGAAAAAAATCTCTCCAGAAACGAGTCTGAATGGTTGAAAAAGTTGTCATCTGGGCTCTGTTTTTGCTGGGAAAGTTTTGCATGAAGTTCTGCATTTTGGTAGAGCTCACCCTCTGTGGATGAGCCTTTAGCACAGACAGCTGCAGCCCTCACACTTCCATCCTATGCCCTTGCATCCTGGGTGCTAGTTTTCACACCAGGAGTAGACCAGTGAATTTCAACCAATACACACTGTATAACAGGCACATTCCTATGGTAAAGCGAACTGAACAATCAGATGTCATCATATGCTGGAGGGTGGCTGTTGTAAACTATGTAGAACAGCGAAGGAATAAGGCTGCGGAAACTGTATGCAGTTTAAGTCGCTTTTGATCAAGTGTCCGTCTGTTGATGTAAATTGGTGAAGCCATTCACTGCATGTCTCCTCCAGCAGCTGGGCTAAGCTATTGTGAGTCACTGTGATCCCTAACGTGTGACACCGCCCCCCCCCCTCCCAAACACTCACACACCCCCAAACAAAGGCCCACTGGCCCTGCCATCTGCTTTGCCATTCCACGGCTGATCTCGCTCTGCAACCTGTTGAGCGGGGGTAGGGGGTGGGGGGGGGGACACGAGTGCTCGTGCCTTGGGGACCTGACAAGCTGAGCCCCCCCCAGTGACCCTACGCTGTCTAAATCAGATTACACCCTAAGCTGTTCTCTGGTGTTTTTGGGACTAAACCATTTTCAGTTGTGCCCCAAACAGTGATTCCGCTCACAGCAGCCAATAGTGTAACAGAATCCCTGCAGTGATTCCCAACGGTCCCAGGCAGGAAAACTGCACATCATGCACTCTCCATATTACAACAATAGCAACTGCAAAATACCCATGGTTCTACTCTAATAAATCCATTGTTTATAATTCTCCTAACTCACATCCACTTCTCTGCACCTTTTCTACACACTTTTCACACTCTAACCTTCAGCTGACTACCTAAAACTGTCCCCATGAAGCCTTAACTTTGTGCCAATTACACAGGCACTTAACACACTTGTGTTAAGCCGCACAACCCCACACGCCCCCCTTAGTCCTGAGCTTCCGTAGGCCCTGAAGTAGCGTTTCTCTCCATTATTTATTGCAGGATTTGGCTCCCTTGTCCCGGGTAACTCACATTTGCACGCATTCCTAGCAGTTCAACAGCTACATTCCTGGCAGGAACACAGACTCTTATGAAGACGCACACACACGCTCCATGCTAACCCAACCTGCCGGCCTCCAGCAAATCCACAACCCCCCCCCCCCAGTGGTGCAGCAACTCCCCCAGGGCAAAGCCCCTACCTTCAGACAGAGGTCCTCCCACTGCTGGTGCAGGCCCTCCACCTGCTCTCCCAGTATAGCCTCATCCTCAGCCACGATGTACTGGGACAGGTCTGTCTTCATGGTGGCCAGCTCCGTCAGCCTGCGAGCCCAGTCCTCCAGCGAGCTCTCGACCTCCTGCATCACACAGCACAACCAGTCAGCCGCTTTGCCAGTTCTCTCTCCCCCAGCGTCCAGCCGGCAGGATTAAGGCCCGCGGGACGGAGTGGGGGAGGGGAGGGGCGGGCTGAAGTGGATGGGGCGAAGGAGGGGGGAAGAGGGGGGAGAGTTAAACCCATAATGAGCCAAAGGAGGGAGAATGAGCTTGAACCTACTTTCTGCACTAACGGTCGCTTTAGTGTCCTGGCACTGGAAGGCAGCTCTGTTTGGGCTGGACGCAGTGTTTAGCCAGTGACAGCCGCCCCTTTCCCAGACTCATACAGCACTGGTCCCACAAATTCCTAACACTGCAGCCCGCCGACTGAGACACTGCCATCAGTAGACCATGCAGATCATGTCAAAAAAAAAAGGTGTCAGGAACAGCAGCCCTGAGCGGAGGAACCAGAAAACCACACCTGGCCAGTGGGCCGGCAGAGCACCGCGGCGGGCGGCTGTGCAGCGGGACCAGCCCCCCCCCCATAAGGACACTCATTCTCTGGCAGTTTAGTGTCATTGCGTAACGGGCTGCAATTTTGAGGGCCTCAATTACTAGCATTACCTGAAATACGCCGGCAGGTTCTGACTGCGATTACCCCGGGGCTGGTATTGTGTGCTGAGGTACAGCCTGTGAGCAGAGCTGAAGGCTCTCCAGCTACACGCTGCCGGGAGGGGGGGGGGCTGCGCGTGTGTGGGGGCCAGGCGGGGGTCACCTTGGTCAGCTGCTCCTCCGCTTGCAGCTCCTCCCATGCCCCTGGCAGTGTCTCCGTGGCTTTGGCCTTCGCTCCCAGCAGCTCCCGCTCGCTGTCAGCCAGCCCGGCCCCGAACCGCTCCCAGGTCTGTGGGAATGAGCCGGAATGAGCCGTTTCTCGCCAGCTTCTCACTCATTCTTTCCTATTCTGCCGTTAACTTCCTGTCTCCCAGATGGACTTGGGCCCATGCCCTCCTGTCTCTACGGTGTCAGAAAGCCTAATCGGAGGAACGCCGCGGCAGGAACTTATTAACCGTCCTGTGAGGAAGCCTTCCTGTTCTACAGCATCCCACTTTGTCCAGCTACCACTGGTGCCAGAGTGAAAGAGGCATTACGCTACTCCACCTCCATCACAGCGCCCCCTACCTGCGGGATGCAGTTTTCATGAAGGCCTGCTTTCCTTCAGAAAGGAGGAGGACAGCACCCATAATGCACTGCTTTCCCGAACGCCAGCCATGCCACCCCACGGTTCCTGCTAGCTCGTGCTTGTTCACAGTGCCGAAATGGGGCAAAGCCTTCAGCCCCCGCCCCAGAGCCCAAGCAGCACGTACATCCATGGGCTGCTCATCCCAAAGCACCCTGGGAATTCGCTGTGATAACTCCCCCACCGATGCTATTGTAAGAGTCCTCTGCGTTAGAAGGTCACCCAGCTGTCCTGATCTCAGCTTTCTCTCGGATTTCCTGTGCGGCTGACATCACAGGTTTGGACTGCACTGGCCTCAGGCTTGCCGGTTCAGTGAAGCTCTGTGCTCCAGCGGCATTGAGTGACCAGGAAGCTGTGGGAGGTGCCTGTCTTTGCTGGGGGAGGGGCAAGACTGTGATATGGGATAAGCAGCCAATGGTTAATCATCTTACTGTATTTACATCAGGTCACACTGAAGAAACAGGCAATGTCATTGAACATGACACTGTGCCTTTATTCATTTATTATAATTTGTTCCACACGGCCATTTTCCCAGAATGCCCCTTTCCCATCCTGTGATTGCCCCCCACTGTCTCATTCTTGCTAATGTCAAAATCTACTCTGGTCCTTGGTGCGATTAGGGAAGCTTTGTGATCTGTTCCCGTGACAACAGTTGCCTGGTGGATGTGGGTCAGGGAGAAAAGTAGACTCTGCAGTGTAAGGCTGATCCCGTACGCCGTCTCACTGTCGCTCGTGGGCCCCTAGGGTGACAGAGGCCACCTCAGCAGTCAGATGAAACACAACACCCTCATACTCCTGTAGCAGGCTGTGTTTAGCCTTCTCCTTCCCGCTAAAGCATCTCTGTGATAAATACGTGATGCCGCTCTTTCTGAACGCTCCAGAAATATGTTGTTACCAAACACAAGCCTACCCTGGATGCTAATGCTTTGCTAACAGAAAAGTTAAACCCCGCACTGCAATTGCTGCTGCATTAACTCACACACGACCACCGTCTCCTGCTCTCACACGCATAAAACCCACTGACCGCAGGAGTGCATTATGGGATATCCATATGGACTTCTGGATACGCTGCAGCTACTGCAGTGAGTCCTGCCTGGTGACGGGACCATGGAGACATACCTGCAGTATGGTGTCAGAGAGAGTCCTCCTTTTTCCCAGCATACAACTGGTGTGCTCCCAGTCCTCCTGCAGGGAGCCCAGCTCCGTCTGCAGCTGCGCCTGCGTCTGTGTGTCTCCCATGAAGAAGAGCTGCTGACCGAGCTCCAGCGTCTGCGCGTAGGCGCTCTGGTGCCGCTGGAACAGCATCTCTGCATGCTGCAGGACGCAGCAAAGGCACAGCGGTGCTCAGCCAAGCACAGTGCCCCCCAGTGGGGGACTCCAGAGGCACATGCCACTCTCACCATTCATATTGTTTTCTTTTTTCACACTGTTACTAAATACAAATATAGATAGAAGCAGAATTATATTAAATTTGTACCCTTTCATAAAATTGGACATTTTACAGAAACAGCGTGTGTTGCCTCCAAGACCCTGACCAGGATAAACAGTCAGAAGATGGATGGATGGAACAAGGTCATTAAAACAGTTCTTTGTTATAAAGCTTTTGGCCCAGTGCAGTGCCAACCGCAGTCCCCCCTGGTGACGTACCTTAAGGTCGTCCGGGGAGTTCTGCAGCTGCTCTGGGCTGCAGTGGACGGGGCCAGCGGGGGGCAGGAGGGCCTGCGTGTCAGCCAGCAGCCCCCGCAGTTTGGACAGGCTGCGGGTATACAGTCGCCAGTGGCCCACCAGCGCCCCCACTAGGCCGCCGCGCTGCTGGGCACGCTGGACTGCGCCCTGCCAGTGCTGACGCAGCTGGGACAGCTTCAGGAGGAAGTCGCTTCTGCGGAGAGCAAAGGGCGGGACGCCGGGGGCCATCCGTCAGTGAGGTGTGTTGGGACCCCCCCACCCTGCTACCTGCTCCCGTATTTCCTGGATCACACTGCATAGATGACACAGCAATGCTTCCCAGACTAAGCAGCGTTTTTAGTTACTCGAACCCCCATCCATGCAGCCAGAGTATCTGTCACAGGCGCGGCTCAACTCCCTGACAGTCCCATGCGGCTGGACGTGCCGAAGCCCATGTTTGGTCAGCCGTGGGGTGTCCCGCCCCTGACCTGGGAACAGACTCGTCACTGCCAAGTCCTTTCAGCCTTGGCTGTTGGCTGAGCCCAGGACAGATTTAAGGCCTGAACGACGGCCCAGCTGGTGTTCCAGCCAGACGTCCTAGTATGCGATACAAGGTCACCACAGCTGGGTGAAACTCTGTTTAAGGATTCTGTAAAGCAGATCGGCGTGCAGCCAGTGGCCTGGGAGGGTAACACTGGCACCAGATCAACCGCTGGGTTTCGGGACCAGCCGGGTGAGTGGGTGAACTCACCTGTCCTCGACCTCCCCCCTCTCCAGCACCCACAGCGCCTCGTTGACAACAGAGTGCAGGATCTGGTGTCCTAAGGAGACCTCCACCTGGAACCTCTGTCAGGAGGTCACAGACACAAACATCATTTAACCAAACTCTGCATATGGCCTTTTCACCAAAACCATTCATCTTGACTACACTGCTGAACAAAAGTTGCCCTGAGGGAATTTCAACCAAACTCAAAGGCAAATGCCTGTCCACTGTGCCACCTGCTGTTCAACATTAGCACTGCAGCCATGAAAAGCAGCATCGTGCATGATGGGAAAAGGGGGGTCACCTGATGCACGCGCAGTTGAGCCCGCAGCTCAGAGTAGGAGCCGGCGATGGGCACAGCCAGGCAGTCCTCCAAGCTCTGCAGGAAGGCCATCCAGCTTGCACACTTCTCCTGGAAGTTTTGCCAGTGCAGCAGCTCGTCCTGGAGCTGGCTGTTGCACAGACACAAGAGCGCCAAGTGGCCCCTTTGTTTGGTCTGGCATTAATCACTACCTCCTCTTTCACCATAAATTTCTGAGCCAGCTGCCAAGCAAGACAGGCGCAGAGCCTATCCAGAGCCAAATCTGGGCCACTGCAACACCACTTCACTCTGCACACTGCACACTGCAACACCACTTCACTCTGCACACTGCAACACCACTTCACTCTGCACACTGCAACACTCTTCACACATTGTTTTGGGTTCACACCGGTCCTCACCTGCACCTCTCGACGACACGCGAGGCGGCCTCCGCCCACTTCCTGTTCAGAACCCGAAGCCTGCGGACGTCCGAGTCACTCGGTGCCACCGTGTGGCTCAGCTCGTTCAGGGCATCCAGGTCAGGGGTGAGGGAAATCAGGTCCAACCACTCAGCCTGAGCAGATGGAGTCCATCACTTGCTGGCATTCTCCATTGGCCTCACAGCGGGCGGCAGGGACAAAGCCTCACCTGGGACACGCCCGAGGAGCCTGGGTCTACGGATCCGGCTAGGCGGCTCTCACAGACCTGCAGGGGGCGCTCCAGCATCTCGAGGCTATGGCCAAACTCCTGTAGCAGGTTCAACTCCTCCTACACACGAAAACACTCAGTAAAATGCATTTTTACCCATTTTTATCTCATGTGGTTCAGGACTTATACAGATCTGGACAGAAAGCTGGCCCAGACACAGGAAGAGTAACCCTGCTCGCACCTGTAGGTGCTCCCGTCTCCTGGAAAGGGCCTCTCCCAGCTGCAGGACCCCGCGGGACAGCGTGCGCTTCTGCGAATGGACAAAGGCAGCCGCCTGGGGCCCCATCATCTCTGTGGGCTTCTTTGAAGCCTCCAGGACCTCATCCAGGCTGCTCTGCAGGGCTTCCAAGCTCTCCTGGAGACCCTGGGGGTGAAACCAGTGTAGACGGCAAGCTGCAGGAAACGGCCTGTGAGGTGTCACGCATCAGCCTGACTATATCAGGAAACGTTGCCCGCGTACCATCAGATACACTGTAGATTAATCTTGAGTAAACAAACCGGTCTTGAATGAACTTTTTATGATTCGAGGGTAGGTCCTGACTGCTTAACTGTCAGATAAGGTGCCAGAAAAATAAACCACAGGAAAGGGAGCTGTAGGGCAGGCTGGGGGAGGAGACTAAGCCCGGGATTATCAATGGGGAGGCGGAGTCAGGTGTCTCGCCATGGTATTTTTATCCTCTTTGCATAACCCCCCTTAACCAAGACGCTGAACAGAATGTTCTCATCTTCACTCGGCATTGTTTCAGGAGGAAAGAGCGCCCCCCTGAGGACAGTACTCACAATAACGGCCTCCAGCTGAGCCTGAAGCGGCACGACGACGTCGCCATCGTGGGCCGACCCTCCCAGCACCACGCGGCTTTGCTCCCGGAGGCCCTGTAGACGGTGAGCGCAGGCGGCGGAGAGACGGGCAAAGTGCTGCCACAACAGGAGCAGCTCTGACACCTCCTGGCGCTCCTCCTCCAGCTCCCGGGCCACCTCCACCCACCTGGCGGGGACACAAAGACACACAATCGTATTCATCACCTCCACCCAGATTTTCTATCCAACCTGATGAGCTACGGTCTGCCTGAGCTCAAGCCAGGTAGGGTAGAAAACCTGCTGGATTCCGGCGCTCTAAGATTAGGGTTGCCTCCTGCTGTTTTAGGGCACTCCCGGTTTCTAGGTTTTCCTAAAAGTTATTTCTCAAAGGCGATTCAAGCAGTCGATGCCCTGACGCAGACAGCAGCAGTCTGGACGCTGGCACTGCCCCCTGCAGAGGAGCGAGCCGCAGACTTCCTGTTTCCTCTCGGATATGACACTAGGGTGGTATTCCTGGCAGGACGCAGTGCCTTCATCGCAGTGTCGTAAACACTTCCTCAGCTCATTCCCCGACGCTTTATGTCACCTCATCATGGCCGTGTACAGCTCACAGCAATAGCATCTCCTGGGGGATGGGACCCACCTTTTCCTCGCTCCCTCCAGTTGCTGGGACAAGAGGAGTGTGGAGGATGGGGCTGCCACCTCCCTGAGGGCAGAGAGGGTCCCAGTCAGGGTGTCCCAGGCCTCCCCGCCTCTCTCCATCTCCTCCTGGAGGACCTGCAAACAGGAGGCGTCACATGGCAAGATGTCAGAGTTTTACTGATAAGCTGGGGTCTCGATACCAAGTGACCCACACGGGTGATCCTTCCCCCATTCAATGGCTTCACCCGGCAGGGGCTATTCTAGGGTACAACTGCAGGACCCCGCTGGGATTCGAGGCCGCAAGGTTTGGATCACCTTCAGTGGGCTGTACTCTAGGGTTTCACCTCTGAAAAAACCCTTCAGCGATTTCATAAATACGTGGCTTCAGGAGTAAAGTGGGGGGGGGAGGGCACACCTGTAGCTGCCGGGCGTGACACTGGAGGCTGTGGAGGGACAGCTTGAGAGCGCGGCTCCTGTACAGGCCGTGTCGAGCCCTGGTCGTGCTGATGGAGGCCGCCTCCAGCCGCTCTTCGAAGCTGGTCCACAGTTCCAGCAGCTGCTGTAGGCCCTGCCTTAGTGGGACGATCTGGGGGCGGGGAGGAGAAATGAGGGTCAGAGATACCAGGGACACCAGTTTTCGGGGTAAAAGCTGAGAGAAGGACACCTGAATCCCGGTGACACGCTGGCATCAGAGGCTACCTGGTGCCTCAGCTCTGTGAGCTCCTCTCCAACAGCATCCAATTGTGAAGCAAAGTCTCCGTCACCCCCTGGTGGGCCCACGTCATCCCGGGGAAGGAGGCAATCTCTCAGCTCCTGTAGCTCAGCCGACTTCAGCGGCAGCTTCTCCTGGACCTCCTGGTGCAGTAACACACAGCATATACACGCTGTGTACCAGGAAAAAGGCTGCTTTGTGCACAAGGGTATGAGCCAGCGTGAGCCGGCTTGAATCTCCACCCACCTCACACTCCTTCAGGGCTCTCAGTGCCGTCGAGAGGCCGTCCGGTTTCTCCAGCAACGGCATCCCCTCCCCGCGAGCTCTGACCCAGCTACGCAGGAGCTGCAGCCTGCGCTCCCTCTTTGCGCAGGTCTGCTGCAGGTGCTGCGCATGCTGGATCTGCAGCAAAACGGTGTTAGAAACGGTCATCAAGATCCACGCGGCAAAGCAACACACATATTACTGCCGACATCGAGATTCAAGATGGCTCCAGCTTCTTATTACTTCCCCGTACTGAGAACTGGACATTAAAATACAGTCTTCCTGTTCTCTTCTCACAGATCCCATTTTTTGTATCAAATGACATAAAAAATATCAGCTTGGATCAACAGCATCCATTTCCCTTTGCTCTGCAGAAAGCATTTTAACTTATAACATCACCACCTGGTTTGGTAACTGTACCGCGACGGACAAACCTGCCGTGCAGCGGGTCGTCAGGAATGCAGAGTAGATTACTGCCAGAGTAGATTACTGCCACTCTGCTACTTTCCTATCTACTCTCTGTAACAGTTGCTGTCTTCAGAGAGCCATGACCATCCGCAGTGATGCGTCACGTGCGAGACACCATTTCTTTGAACTGTCACCATCCGCAGGAATGTACAGAGCAGTCAAAGCCCACACTACCAGACTTAAAAACAGTTTTTACCATCAAGGCAGTAATCAGGTTGAACCAGACACTGAAGGACTCACACTAAGGACTATCAGGCCCTCACCACCACACAACTGAATTATAAGCTACCTATCCATCGTACGTTGCACATATTTACTGACTATCCTGTCCTGTGTTTTGTTTTAACTACTCAGATACCTGCTAACCTTATCTTGGGCTGCCCCTTTATCACAATGAAAAATTAAATTTTGAATATTAAATCTTGATCGGGTGACAGCAAAACACTCACGGGATGTTAGATAAAACTATCTATAAAAATGTCATGTGACCAAAGTGCTACATGGGGAGATTTGCTATTAAACCATGACAAGTAACATTTTACATCAGCCATGACCTCACCTTGCTCTCCAGCGCCCCCTGTAGGAGAAGCCAGCGGTGGTTGACGGCCCCAAGCTGCTCAGCAAAGTGAATAACTTCGTAGCGTGTGGCCTGATGGTTAGAGCTGCCGGTCTGCAGCAAGGACTGGTTGACAAAGTCTATGGAGAGCTGGTGACCAGTCATCTCTATCTTAATCTCCTGCAGGAAGGAGGGGAAGAAAGGACAAAATATCTGTAACCTGGGGAAAAAACAGTGACATCAAGCACAAGGCCTGGCAGTGAGAGTCACAGTAGTCACATGAGTGTGAGCTGTGCTATAAGTGCTCAGTGCTGACGGAGGTCTGAGGTTGGGCCATCAGATTGAGGAAGCCCAGGCTCCAGGCCCCCAAACAGGTACCTTGTAGTGCTTGAGGACCTGTGACAGGCTCGCCGAGGAGGCGGGCCCCCAGTCCAGCTTCTCCCCCAGCTTGGCCTCCATCTGGCGGATACAGGCTTCCAGCTCCAGCACGACTTCCTGGGATGGAAGCTGCTCCATCAACAGCTGAGAACAGCGGGAAAACCACGGTTTCAGAGAGGAAGAGGAAAATGCATTAAAGTTACGCGTCGCTTGATGTCCTTCTGCGCGATATCCGACCACAAATACGAACGAAGTCCCATAAGGTTAGCATAGAGCAGAAAAATCCAGATCTGCTAACAGACACAGCAGATGCAAGTGGCCGCTGTGCACGGCATGCAGCTGGCGTGAATAAAGTGACTGTCCTGCCAGCTGTATAACGGTACAGGACATATCTAACTTATAATACCCATAATGCACCATGTGTAGCTGGTGTAAAGTGACTGTCCTGCCAGCTGTATAATGGTACAGGACATATCTAACTTATAATACCCATAATGCACCATGTGTAGCTGGTGTAAAGTGACTGTCCTGCCAGCTGTATAATGGTACAGGACATATCTAACTTATAATACCCATAATGCACCATGTGTAGCTGGTGTAAAGTGACTGTCCTGCCAAGTGTATATGATGTCTGCATAGCATTCGAGTCACCTACCTTCCTACTGGACAGAACATAAGTTGACACATACCTCTATCATTATGTATGTATTATTATTATTATTACTATTATTATAAAGTGAGACTGAGGCCCCCCACCCCCGCAATGAGGTGGGGGCCAAGGCATGGTGCTGAAGCCGCCCAGCACGCAGGCCCTCCGCCAGGTGGGGGCGCTCTGCTGCCTTCTGCACCCCATCTGAATGAAAGCAGCAGGTGTCCAGAGCATCCAGTGGTTTCCTTGGGCAGATGGCCCAGGACAAGCACTACCTTCGATTACAGCAAGAGTCACCGGTGATGAGTTACCGCTCTGGCTTATAACGAGCCCTTAGACTCCCTTCAGAGCTTTCCTGCCATATTTCAACACGGATGTATTTCTGAAGCACGGAAGATAAACGTCAAAGGCCAAACGGCGGCTTGAATCCAAGGCATGGAGGAGCAGATGCTGCATGCAGGCGCCTGCGCACCTGATGCAGCTTCTCCTGGACGGCGTGCAGGTCGGACAGCAGCTCAGTCCACGACTGCTCCATCTGCGCCAACTGCGCACGCAGGGCTGTGACATCAGTATACTTCAGCTGTAGCAGCTGCATGCCGGCATTCAGCACTGATGCCTTCAGGAAGGACCTGGACTCTGCCGTCTTGGACAGTTCCTACACAAAAACACAAAGAAAAAGATACACATACACTTCTGTGCAAAAACTCCCTATATCAATCTCTCACAAAAGAGACTAAAATTGTCAAATAGTCAAGAAACTACAAAACGGTTTGGTGGGAAACTTACCATCACCTGGCCCAGACGAGTCTGGACAATTTCCGGGTCCTGTGGCGCCAAGCCCAGGTCCTTCCTCCATGTGTGTAGACGGCCTGTGGCTCCGCCCACCCACTCTCTTAAGGCCTCTGAGTCATGGCGGAAGCTGTGGGGACACGTCACTGCCATTACTACCCGGTCACCAGGGGCACAACTCAGGACATGCAGATCCCAGAGCCGGAACCCGGGAAACATGAGTCATCTGTTTACAAATGAGGTCCTGCGAGTATCTGTTCTGCATAGACCTGCTGATGGCTAATTATGGGTGGAAAATGTGGGAAAAGAAACTTTAAAAAAAAACAACAGAATAGGCTGTTCCTCCGCAATTTACAGAAGTGGGAACGCTCCGTGTGCACCTGGGTACGTGAGAGCAGGAGGTCTGTCTGTGTGACAGCTGAGTGTCGCAGTCATGTCTGCGTGGATATGAATGTGACAGTTGTATCTCTGTTTGTTTATATACATTTGTGCGCCTGTGTGCGGACCACACCTGCTCCAGAGGCTCAGGAGTGCATCAGCATGCTGCCTCTCTCTTTCTAGTCTTCCCAGTGCATCCCTCCAGAGCGTCTCCAGTTCACAGCTGGCTGTGCCCACTGCTCCGCAGCCACCCCTAGCTGTCATTCGCCTCCCCAATTCCAGCACCTGACACAGCTGGGGTGTATTCATTTCCAGGACTCTTTTCATTTGCTGCCACAAAAAAGAGGCTCCAATTAGCTCCGCCTTCTCACCCCCTATCCCCATCCCTGAAATCACTCTCGTAGCACTATGGTGAGAGACTCCCTATCCACACTGGCTTTGAATAGGGAGAAATAGAGAGTTCGCCCCAGGAGCGGCTTTAGACTTGCTATTTGCAGGAGAAGTAATTGGGAAGCGGGAAGAACATGGGCAGAAATGAGGGCCGCCGGAAGACTCTGAAAACACACATTAAAAGGGAGAACATGCAGTGCTCACCTAATCCCCATCATTTTGCCAAGTAATTTCGTGTGGAATAGAGTGGATCCAGGCTTAGCGATCAATTCCGAAAACCGACTGGCCTGCCAGAACCTGCTTTTCAACATCACTCGCCCACAGAGGGCTGGCCGCATTTCGCCTCAAATGTGAACAGGCTAACACAAAGACTGGAAAATACATTCTGCGACTCTGCTCTGTGGAGGCAGGGGTGTCCAGCCCTGCTATATAGGTACATTATGTACATTATATACAATCTACTGGCTGCTGACTGGACCGATGCCTGCATTCCGTTAGCTATATTCACATATTCTTAGCTTTGAGTGTCGTGGTCAATCACAGCTTATAGGGAACAGAAAAATCTGCAAAAAAGCCAATTCAGTGAAAACCACTGATGGTAGAAATTAGGCTGTAAACCAGAATTTGGGCAGGATTGTCGTGTGTTAACTGGTTTAACTCTCCATCCCAGTCATTATTTTGTTAGTTCCCACTGGGATTTCCCCATTATTACTGGGAACTACAGGGGCAGTACATGAAAGAAAGACTGCAGGGATGGGTATGAATGTGGCTTGTCAAATTAGGGTATTAAAGAGGTTGTATTTGACTACTAAAGGGCACAAAAACTGCTGCCATTAACTGATAAGCCCTCTTGTGGCAGCATCTGGTACGGCACGTGGTACCTGGTGAATGCCAAGCCTCTGACGCAGCTGTTCTTCTGACTCTTCTGCCAACGACTCAGCAGACACATTTGCCTCCACGTCGTGGAGCAGCCGTCGCAGATGATCACAGCCCTGCTCCCACTGCAGCCAGGACTGCAGCCAAGCAGATAGACAGGTGAACACCACAGATGTGGCTACAGAGGTGTACAGTGCAGCTGCTCCACCACGCGGATTAGCAGTGGGCTAGCAGCAGGCTAACTTTTAGAAACAGTGGGGACACAGTGATGTCAAGGAGACATGCTCATTCCAGACCATCCGTTCATTTTCTAATGCTCATCTAGTACAGGGTCACGGTGCTATTGTTTCTGGTTGGTAAATATTACACTTTCTAGGTACATCAGCCTCTTAGAAGATCTCTAATCCTGTACCTGCAGCAAGAACTCCAGGTGGGTGCCGTGCTCCAGAGCCTGGTCCTGCACACTGCACACGTCCCTCTCCAGCTGCACCCTCTGGCTCTCCAGCTCCGCTCCCACACCATCCGGCAGCTTCGCGGTGAGGTGCTCCAGCAGCACCAGCTGGGAGCCAATAGCCTGAAAGAGTCTCTGTGGGCCACAGCAAGAAGGGGGAGATGGCTGAGTCACATGATTACAGGCTATATTATATTGTCATTATTATATTATACGGCGAAAATATTTGTACTATTGACACTAATGGAGTAATTCAGTGAGCTGATGATAAGTATGTTGCCCCATAAAGGCAAAATGTACTAACTGCATATATCTTATCAAGCCTGAGTTATGGCCAACATAGGCTCTGCTTTACCTTGTGATGAAACATCTTAGTTCAACTATGGTCAGTTTTCTGAATAAAGTACATTCATCATTTACATAAGTACTACACGTATAGTGCGGTGGACAGTCAAAAAACTTTAAAGCCGCTTTTCTCAGTCTCAGTGTAGGTATTGTGTTTTGCCTGCGTAGGTACGGTTTAAACAGTCAGGTGTGTGGTGTTCACCTTGTGTCGGTCCAGCCGGCTGCGCAGCTCCGCCTGGCTGCGCAGCTCAGACCCCGAGTTACAGGACAGATGCTCGCGGCCCAGCTCCACCAGCCTGGACAGACTCTGGATCAGCCTGTGGTACTGATTTTGCAGAGACCACTTGCTCCTCAGCTGCTGCTCCTGGCCGCGTAGGAAGGCCCAGGCTCCCTCCAGCACATCCTGCACACCCAGACACACCGGTCAGTATGGACACACGCGCACGCACATGCACATACTCTGCATTACGCCGTAACCATACCTCCAGCCTGCAGACCTCCTCCAGGAGAATAGCTGGCTGACACTGACCATCCAGCCTCTCCCTCACCGCAGACACTTGATGCTCCTGTGACTGCAGCTCGGACAGCAGCTGCGCAGCTGTCTGCAGATGCATTCAGGTTGGTCACATGAGATGAGGTCAAAGGTTACCATCAAGACAGCATGAAACATTGAAGCCAATTCGACATCACGGCTGTGCCTCAGATAGATTTATCTTTTAATATCCGGTGTTACTGGTTTGGTATCCGGCTTGTACTCATTACGTATCCTGTGTGTATTGGTTTAGTACTCTGCTTACACATCTTAGTAAAATACTCAACTGAAGTAACCATTAACACAGAAGCCCAGTGAAAAAGGAGCTTTTATATATATGAGATTTTCAGTCCACTAAGAGGGAGAATCTGGCATCAAGAGCTCACTTTAATTTCTGTGCTCATCAGCAATTCCAGTCTAAGAGTGGCTTCAATCAGGTAGTCTTCCCAGGCCCGCACCCGGGGAAAAACTCATTTCACAGAGAATTTCGATTAGTCTGAAGTGTGTCCGGTGCCAGTCGAACCCTAGTGAATGTAATTTTAGTTCATTACAGGCACACAAGGTGGGGGGGGGGGCTCATTTGCTTTCTCCATTCCCCTCTCAGTTTTTAGCAGCGGGTGTGTCTCGCAGTGCTGCCACTAAGTTTGGGCCAACACCATGCTGAGCTCTGCGCTGTCCTGCCAACGACCGAGAACGCAGCCCCGTCCGATCGGGCCCAGAAGCTGAGAAGCAGCATACCTGTAGCTGCTCGGTAAGGCTGCAGCCAGTGGCTCCGCTAATCGCTCTGTGCAAATGGGACATTTTAGCGAGCAGGGAAGCATGCAGTGCCTTTATGTCTTTCTGTGGGGTTAGAGAAGCACACGTTATCGATTTAGTGTGACACATCGCTGGATTAGTAAATGGATGCTGTCAATACATAGCTGATGATCAGTAAAATCCCGACAGCGTGAGCTCCTGTGCAAAATGAAAAAGCCAGAAAAACAGTTCTAACCTGGCACTGGTCTGTGCGTTCCACCTGGACCTGCAGCAGGGTCTGTCGAGAGGAGAGGGCCGTCTGCACGGTGATCAGATGGTCCTGCAGACTCCTCAAACAGAGAGATGCTCCAGGGACCACCAGTACAAGGACATGGTCCGCCTCTGACCACTGCTGAGCAGCCAGCTCCCCGCTGAGGACAGCCAGCTCCGCGGCCAGACTCTGCCAGGTACACAGGGGCGCTGACATTGCTGGCCTTCCTCATTGTCATCACCATGTACTTCACTGTCGTCCATTATCCTTCCTACCGTGGATCATAGTGCTGAGGCTAACAGTCTCACCTGGAGCTGCTTCATCTCATGAGGCCCATCGCCAGGAGACAGTAGCAGGTCATTAGCACAGCAGAGGGACAGGTCCACCCCACACAGAGTCTTAAAAAGGTCCTGCTCCAGCTGAATGAGGCTCGCCTAGGGTACATGTCAAGTGACGGTCAGTCCAGTAAAACAGCTGAACTTCTGAGAGTTCATATTATTGTGTTTGTAGTATTAATATCCCAGTTCATTCACTGGTGTAACCATGCATGTCATTGTTCCTATGGGGTGGCTACATTCATGGCCATTCCTGGGTGTTCCAGTGCCCTAGGCGAGATTCCAGTGAGTACCCCCCTCCCCCCTACCAGCAGAAATCAAATTTTGTCAGTTATATTGAAAACAATTCAGTAGCACGGGGTATCCAGCTGCTAACAAGCTAGCGTGCATATTTCTCACAAGAAAAGTGGGGAAATATTAAAGTTAGTGTAAATATGGAATGTTACGGAATGCAACTAGAGGTATTTTTTCTGATTTTTTCCCCCCCACTGTTTTGCACCCCCTAATTAAATGGCACCCTCTGCGATTTTCTATCTCGCCTATAGAGCAGGTCGGCCATAGCTAAATTAACAAGATGTACAATCACGTTGACAAGGAGTCAGAAATGGAAGCAGTGACCCCCTAAAGCTCACTTGTGCTGGTGACACACTCAAGGCGTGGCTGAGCTCCCTGAGATGCATCACGTGACTTGCCATCTCCGGCACACTCTGGGTGGCACCTAGCGCTGTCCTCGACACCTTCCAACAAGACACACGTGCAAATCAAAAGCCTGACAGCGGTACATCCACTGTACTGATTGCTGGATTCATAAAGGAGTCATTCAAATGAGATCGAAAGGGATGAGAGACGGAGGACCTATCGCCGACCTCTTGGGGAACCTCACGGATGCTGTCTTCCAAGGCCTGAAGTGTGTGAGTCAGGCGCCCATGAAGGTGGGTCCATTTGTCCTGGTTCTCAGCCACACTGGACTGCCTGGGAGAAGCACCAGGGACCCTGGTGTGACCAACCACAAGGATGTCTTTACTCGACAAGTAACGTCCTGCATCAGGAGTCTTGTGAAAGAGGCAGGCCTTCACCTTACTGAAGCTGTGCTTCATCACATGAATATATGGAAAGCACAGTCACACAAAGAGATCACAGCCTTACTGGGCCTGGGCTGTGGTGGACGCCTTCGTCGGCCTCTCCCCCGTCAGGCCCTGCTGACGAGTTCTTCTGCCATGCTGGACGATGGCCTTGGTCAGGTCTCTCTGCTCACTCAGCTCATGTTCCAGCTCCTGTAGAGAGACATGAGGCAGAAGCCAGAAGCTAGTCTACAAGTGGCCTACTACCCACCAACAGATTACATTTACCAGCATCCAATCACATGCAGATAACTTACATGCATGCAACGACCCAGCTACTGACTGTCCACCCTACCAAAACCCCACTGCCAGCCTATCTAAAGTCCACCCACAACCTTCTAACTGTCCCTCTTGCAATGCACATACAACCTGCTGAGCTAAACTACGGTGACTCTGAACGCCCAGAACAGTAGCAACGTTAGCATTAACCAAAAACATTAAGGCACAAAAACATCAAGACAAAAAAAAAATTAAAATAAGCGCTCTTTTAATGTGCTCTGGTTTTCAGAACGGAAGTGTTCCACGCCAGAAGGGGCAGAATTCAACTCTTGATATCGTGCCTCTTACACCAACAGCTATGATAGCCGATTAGTGTCAACACATTCCACATTGAGAAAACACTTACCCACGCGGCAAATGCATTGGATTTAGATTGTTTATGAACAGAAAAAACGTTCACCTTGTGTTTTGAGAGCAGTGTCATAAACGGACAGAAGAATGAGTGTTGGTGGACATAGTTGAGTGAAATGCTTTTATGCTGTGGCACCCATTTCAGGAAGTGACTGCATATGGTCATGCAACAGATATAGACATACATTCATTTCTCTCTTTATTTTGAGACAGGGAAGGAAGCCCACGCATTGTTTTAGACAGTTTGATATATCTCACATGTGGTTATTTTTTTTTAACTGAACATTTAGCACACTTCACTGAAAATATTGTGTATTGCTATTCTGACTAAAATTACTGATATGGGTTTTGGTCCGTGTCGGCCAGCCCTATAGAACATGCAGAAGACGGACATGCAGTTCCCCAAGTCACAAAGTGAGGGAGATCTGTTTTTTTTTGAGTGTGTGCAATAACCCAAATTCATTTTAATCACACAATTACTGCATTTACATGCTGGAGTACTTTTGGTTTCTATTCAAAATTTTTAATAGAGCCTTAAGTTTAACACATGATAAATTGATATAAACAATATTTTGTCAGCTTATATCCCACCCAGCCCTAGCGGTCCGTCGCACATTCTCTAGCTGAATAGTATACAGCATTGATCAGTAGGGTGAATACTGCCCCTTGTGGCAGGGAGCGCTTCCGTTTTGAAAACCACAGCACATTAATAGAACATAACACATAAAAAATTAAATTAGTTAAATTTTTTTGTCTTGACGTTTTTGTGGTGTCTTTGTGTTTTTGCGTCTTTTTAATGTTTTTGCTTTGTGTTAATACTGACGTGTTATAGGCTCTCAAGACCACCGTACCAAACCCAATACACACCAAAAATGCTTAAAGTCCATGAGCAGCGAGGGCAAAACAGAAGCCAGTACTGAATCTCACTCGATTTCATACCCTCTGCTGCTGTAGGCTGTTCTGTCGGATGAGTTTGCTTTTAGAGGAGGCCAACATCTCCTGCACGCTTGTGCTATGCTTCATCCCATCCTCTAGGGGGCACTCTGCATTCTGAAGTGCAAAACAAAGCTGGAATAATATATCACAATACATCGCAACTGAGCTCAAATATCAGAATCTATTGCTTTTTTTTAATCTCATCATTTTATATTGTGCATCAGGCCACAGGCTTAGCAGTTCTATGAACCCCAGGTGTAGGTACTTATCGACACAGTCACACGTATTACAGTGTTCTCTTAAAAACTGTTAAAGTTATACATAAATGGAACCTCTTCAGAGGCCAATTTAGGGGTCCTGCATGTGCTAATGGGCCCATGAAAGAATCAGCGGTTTTCATCAGGAAAGGTGGGAGATACGGTAAGGCTGACGCTGTTCTTTTGATGCGCTCCCCACACATGAGTCTGAACAGTAAGGTCGCACACTATTCATTTACAAAGGTTCAGAGCATGCATTGCTGAGGACACTGGCTCCATGCAACACTGAAACGCAAGTATTGTTGTAAAGACGATGTGGGTTTTTATCTTGCTTGTGTGAGAAAAGCATGTGTCTGTGGGTGTTTGGGTGTGTGAATGTGGCGACAGGCGTGCGCATCATGGTGCTGGGCACTACAGTGTGTTTGGAGTAACGCACAGCTGTTTGTCCGGGTGCCTGTGTTTCTCGCGAGCACAGCAGTACCGGCTCCAGGCTGTGTCTGTCCAGAAGTTGCACCTGGAAGGTGACCAGACTGTTCTTCAGAAGCTTCAGCTTGGCAGAGAGCTCCAGAGCGTCTTCCTGGCCCAGGGCCGACAGGCTCGTCACCTTCTGCTCTATCTCCCGAAACATTTCCTGGACAGACACACGCAGATGGCTGCGCCGTTAATGTTAGCATGAAGCACAGCAGCGACAAAACCGCGTGATCTTTGTTTCAGGGCATAAAGGGCTTCCAGCATGATAGAGTGTAACAAGACAAGCTATGACACTAAATCCTTGTTCCACCCTGAGTGTGTGCGGAAAGGGCAGAGTTAATGGCCCTGAGTCACTCACTAAGCTCACTGCCTGGGAACCATGAGAATCAGTAAAGAGCGACAGATCTCCCACAAACCCACGGTTACACACTGGAACAACTATCAGCGCAATAAACAAAATGTACACGTCTCACTATCAATCCCATCAATTGCAGGTCACTTTTTTGATGTTATAATGCTACTGCACTTTAAAGCCATTTTCAGCTGCAATTTGAAGTAGTTTAAAGCTGGTTGTTACACTCTAATTCATACAGGTAGCATCAGCTTCTGGTTAGTACTGGGCAGAGCTCAGGGGTCAGTATCTATAGTGCATTATAGATGAGAGCTTCAATGGAGCTTATGAAGTATTATAACCAACATTATAATGCCTTATGATTGCCAATTGAAGATGCTGCAATGCTTTATTCATTCTTACACCGACCATTATAATGCATTATGAAGGTATCTATAATATATTATAGACAGGGATGGACATAACTGGTATGCAAGTACACATTCATTTGCGATATACAGGTCAAAATGCAAGGTATTTTCTTGTCATATCAGCACAAATACACATAAAATAATAAGTACGCATTTACACTTTTACAAACAATCAATTGTCGCACGTATCGTTTTTAAAGGTGAATGCGTACTTGCGTGCCAGTTATATCCATCCCTGATTACAGATAACAGCTTATAAAGCAATAAAGTGTCACCAAGGAATTTGACAGAAATTCACTGCTCCTTATCTTCTAACCCACAACTCCAACCCGGGAAAAGAGCAAGACAGTGATAGGGATGATGGCACTAGGCTACTAGCCAAAGAGAACCAGGGGTCAAGGTCCACTTTTGAAACAACAGTCAACAGCGCTGATTAAACAAGCATATTTACTCAGACGCATGTCTGGTACCGTGTAGGATCTGCAGCTGATCTGATCTCCTTTAAAAGGATCTCTTAAAATGTAAATGGTTCAGGGCTTCTCATTATGCCCATTTTCACTGAGGCTGTGTTTACCTTTTGGATGGTCAGTAATGCTTTCACATGGAAGCCATCAAACCATCATGGCCTAAGATCAGAGCGCTTGTCACACAGTCTTCCCATAACCTTTCATTCACCAGAACACTTGAGCTGTTTTACAGCAGCAAAACAAAACATCCCAAGAGCCTGTCTGGTGGTTATTCATCCCAGGTGTAACCTTCTGGTCTGCTGGCTTCAAAAGCCTCCATAAACTGCACAGTGGTTTCATGAAAATGTATCTTCTGGTCAGTCTCTGGCATCAGAAAAACAGGCAAACTTCTTCATCCATTATTTTTTGGTTATTATAGGGAATCAGTATTATCTGTGCCCCTTCAGTGATTCTTGTCTATTCTCGTTCTAACCCTAACCCCAGGCCTTATGAGCCGGGCTGTATCAGCATGTCTGCACACGCCTCTCTTGCTGTCCTCTTTATTTACATGTGAACCAGACTGGCTCCAATGCATTATTTAGTGACGCTTTCCAAAAATGCAAATAGCTTCACTATGCTTTCCATGTGGGCAGAGCTCCGCCCAGAACCTACCACAGGCCAATGAGGAGAGCCGGTATTGCATGGATTTGCACAGGGAGCGTTAATGATTCCCTTTGACACAGAGCCACGCACTCTTCTCAGAGATCTCCGGTAACCTTAAAACAAACAAAGGCGGCCGTAGCAGCTGCTCCATGGTGTTTGCTCAGTCCAGTTTAGTTTCAACCAGGGTTTCGTTCAATGCTGACGTTCAGAAGCATTCACAAAAGCATGGGATCTAGTCAAACGGGGTTAGTTTTTGAATGAGATCATTAGCAACACTGAGCACGTGCAGGAAGATATATTTCCTACGAGCACAGGGGGGCGTCATTCTCCTGTCCACAGGTGTAACCGGAGTCACCAAGCTAATGAGGTTAGACAGGTACAGCGTGACTAAGCGCCTTGTAGACGGAGTCAGGAAGGGAACACGCATTTAAAGTGACACTACATTTTGAGCCTGAAACCTGAGACTGGTGAATGCGACAAGATCAGCCCAAGATCACCCTGAGAAAATGGATGTTAAGAGAGACTCCCCACCACCTTCTCCTCCAACCTCAGGGATTCCTGCTCACAGAAGCTATGGCAGCCTCAGGCCCTGTGGGACACTGAACTTTAATGTCCCACCCCCCTCATCCACCGGATCCACTTACCTGGCAGGTGAGGAGTTCCTGCTCTATGCCGTCCTGCATTCCAGTGGCTGGTGGCGGGACGCTCAGGCTGCGGCGAGCCCCTTCCAGCCAGTGCTCCAACTGGGTGGCCTGGTGGCGGCACACCTGAAGGCCCTCCAGGGCAGGGTGAGGCTCCTTTGAGGTCTGGGTCAAGGAGATAAGTGGGGGTGGAGGAAACCCTCAGACAGGCTCATACAGGCAGACACAAGCTCTGCCTACATAAGGTAGCGGGACCTCAAAGAATCACCCTCGTCACCTTTCCCCTCTCGCTCTATCTCACTCGCTCGCTCCTTCGCTCGCTCTTTCTTCCACACAAACAAACGTGCCCCACCCACACGCAGTCACTTCCTGAAATCTGCAGCTTGGTGCCGGCCACTAATGACAAGGAAGGACCTACAGTGGCAGTGTTTGGTCATGTGGGTAAAGTACGCGACCCATGGGGGGGGGGTCACCCTGACACATGTGGTTCCTTTCCCTGTCTCATTTCACTTCGTAGCCCTTAAAATTTGTAAAGTAAAAATATTTTTTAAATGGTTTCTATCCAGGTACAAAAACAGATAAAAAAATAAATAAATGAGAGATGGTGTATTGGTGTATAATGGGTAAATGTCTAAAGGTGCATATTAAAGACACTCAGTTCCCCTCTGGAACTCTCCCAGATCCCAACTCCCACTAGGGGCAGCATTGGCTATTACAGAGGACATGCATTGGGCAAGCTGATTAAGCATTGGCTATTACGGAGTCCAATAACCAGCGGGGAGCTGGTTAAGCCTTGCAGCCCTGTAGGGGGCCTGTAGGAGTGATCTACAGGAGGACCGGCGTCACCATTCAGAGATTGTGCTTACCAGGTCAGCAGCTGGAGGTGCAGCAACTGGATCCTCCTGGGAAGGACTGAGTGAGTCGCCGGGCACTGCATGGGTGTGGGAGGTGTCAAAGGACTGTGTGGGTGTAGGAGCCACATCCTGGTGGTCAGCATCAGTCTCCATATGCAGTCTGGGGGCTGTAGCCTGGTGGTCGGCAACAGTCTCTGTAGGCAGTCTGGGGGCTGTAGCCTGGTGACCAGTATCAGTCTCT